GGGGGACGAGGAGGAGGATGAGGAGGAGGATGACGAGGAGGAGGAGCAGGAGGAGGCGGACGGGAACGACGACGATGAGGACGACGACGATGCAGGATGGTGATTCTGCCGACGACGACAAGTGTGACGACGTCAACGATAGATGTACATATGTGTGTGTGTGTGTTTATGGGCCCCTTTCAGAGACGTTGGCGGTCAAGATGGTGACCGCGCTTCCGCCGCTCTCTGCGGGCGGCCCCGCCCCGTCGCGACTGGCCGATAGCGTGCTCCACCAGCTGTTGGCGCTCCTCCCTGCGCTCCGTTGCGCGGGGGGGGCTCCCCGTCGTCGCCCTCGCGGCCGCCCTCCAGACCTCTGGCCGCCTCATCCTCCCCCTGATCCTGGAGCCTGCTCCAGCCGCCGCCGCCTCCGCCGCCGCCGACCCCTCCTCCTCCAGTTCCCGCCCTTCCGCTCGCCTGCGAGGCCTCGCGCCGCGCGGCCTCAAAAAAAGAACGGTTCGGAGGACAGTCCTGCAAGCGACTTGTCTGCAGCTGCTGGGTGTGGCGCTGGGGCAGCTGGGGCTGGGGGCAGGTCCAGGAACACCAGGAGGGCCTTCCTTAGACCCCTCGATCGTCCTACGCTTTTGGCCTGCCAGCCAGGTCCTGCTGCTAACCGATTGCTCCCTCGGCTTGCTCACAGAACGCTCCAAAGGCCTGGCAAGCAGCGTCCTGGAAGAGCTTGACCAGGGCATCATTCCTCCTCTTTGCCTCCTCGAGATAGGCAGCTGGCTGGATGTGGGGGCACTGCACGGACTTTTGACGCAAAATTTCTGATTGCTGTGGAACGTTCTTTGGCCCGCTCAAGTGCCAAGAACGCCTCCGCACTGTCAATCTTCGCCTGCTCGAGCTGCTCCTCTGGGTGGCTTTGACCACCTGGCGCTTCAGAGCGGCCTGGCACCTCTCCATCTCCTCTTTCGCGGGCCCTCACTGCACCTCGACAGATTGCTCGAGGGCACGAAGCTGCTCCTTATGCTTACTGTCTGCCTCATGGTCTGGCTGGGCCTCGAGAAATTTGATGACCGACTCGAGCTCCCCTTTGTTGGCACCCCCCAGAGCAGCCCAAGAAGACTCCCGAGCACGACCAGGACCCACGCGTGCCAGGAGGAGCGGGCCGACTGTCGCAGCCAGACCCCCCCTTTGGCCCCCGAGCGCTGGCCTTCCTCCACACCTCCCCGAGGCCCGTCCAGGCACGGCCGCAGGGCTTGCTTGGGGTCGGGCATGTCCTACGGGCGCGGATGTCGGGCGAAGCATGAAAAGTTGCCGAACAAGATTCAAGGATAGTCCAAGATGGTCGAGAAACCGTCTCCATCTCATGTGTTTGCTTATGTTTTAGGTTCCTCATATAGGCAGACATGCCCGACTGAATGCACAACGCCAGTTCCCGACACGGGAGCCACATGCTGGCACGGCGCGCGCCCCCGCGCGCCCGCCGAAGGGTTGAGGGACCGAAGCCCTCCACACAGCACACTGGCTACCTCGAGTCGAGTTTGAAAAGTTTAGGAGCCGGCCCCTTGAGCCAAAGTGGTTGCGGATCTCCTGCCTCCTCCGCCACCTCCTCCTCCTCCTCCTCCTCCTCCCTCCTCCTCCTCTCCTCCCCTCCTCCTCCACCTCCTCCCTCCTCCTCCTCACTCCTCCTCCCTCCCTCCTCCTCCTCCTCACCCCTCCTCCACCTCCTCCTCCTCCTCCTCCTCCTCCTCCTCCTCCACCTCCTCCTCCTCCGCCTCCTCCTCCTCCTCCTCCTCCTCCTCCTCCTCCTCCTCCTCCTCCCCCTCCCTTCGAAGCCTGACCCCAGACCTGTCCAGGGGTGCGCTCTGCCCAGAGTCTGGAGGCCACCCCGGCCGTGGCGGTTGGCGGCGCCCGGGAGGGGCAACAGACACTGGAGACCTCTCGATTCGTCGCCGTCGTCGCCGAGAGGCCCCGGCGGGGGCGCGGCCTCAGACAGCGCCGCCGCGGTCGCCGCTTCCAGCGCCGCCGCGGACGGCGCCGGAGCGGTCGTGGACAGCGCCGGCGCCGCGACGCAGGGCGCAGCTGCGCCCGCCCTGCAGGCGGGCGCCGAGGGGTCTGCCTCAGCAGGCGGGCGCCGCGGGCCGTCGCCAGACGCGGCTCTCGCGCCGCGCTCCTCCCACGCGGACGCCGCAGCCGCCGCGCCCTCGGACGGACATGGGGGAGCAAGCACAAGCCCAGACCTCCAGTGTGTCGACAAGAATCGAGAGTGTCATTGCAGGGCCGCCGTCACGCCAGGCTTCACCACCCACCAAACCACCCCAACCCAACCCGAAGGCTCAGATTTACCCTCGATTTCCAGTGGGGGGGGGGTCGGGAAACTTTGAAAAAACACATGTGGAACCCTTACACCCCCCAACCCGAAATTCGGGTCTTCGGGTTGGGTTGGGGTGGTCTGGTAGGTAGGCAAGGCTTCCTTGCTGGTGCGGCGCCCCTTCCAAGGCGATGATGATCGACGAGAGTCGAGACGGAGGTGTTTCAGAGTGTCCTCGGCCTCGAGGCCGTGAGAGACACGGCTCGGGATGAAAAACTGGTCCCGGGGAAGTGGCCGAGAGGTCGGGGGCCAGCGTCTCGACACAAAAGCAGGGTGTCAGATGTTTGCCCGGGAAGTCGGGGGAGGAGCAGACACCACCACCACCGAGAACCCACCGTTGGGGGGACCCACCCCTGGGCGGTGGCACGCCCGGGCGTCGTCCGGTACTGGGTGGCCCCAGCGTGTCACCGCCCAGCCGCGCCCCCGCGCCCCCCTCGCGAGGTTCTCGGCGGCGGTGGTCTCTGAGCCGATCGGAGCCCTGGGTCGGCACCGGGCCGGGTCCCCCTAGCCTTGCGCTCCTGGCGCGGCGCGCCGCCTCTCCGGAGCCGGCCCCGGGCGCGCTACGGGCGCCCGTGGCCGGAGCGGGAGAAGCGTGGCACGGTGCAGACCCATGGCAGGAAGCACCCTGCTCGCCTCCAGGGTGCCCTGGGTTTCCTGGGCTTCTCGCGCGTGGCCAAATACGCGCCGTGGCCTCATCCGCGCCGGGGCGCATTCCTTCCCTCGCGAAGCCGATGGTGCCCAAGGCGTGGCAGGCCCGTTCGGCGGCGCCCCCGGTGATTTGAAAAAACGAGCATGATTTTTATCCCGGTCAAACTTTGCCCCGATCCCGGCTTCGTCTTACGTGACGTGTTCCCACGCCAGAGGTCCGTGGGCGCCCTGGGGTCTCAGGGCCGGGCTTCTTGTGGGCGGCTTCCCGCGGGCGGGCCGCCACCGCGAGCACCAGGCCGCGGAGCTCCGCGAGGGTCTCCCGGATCGGCGCCGGTTTCGCCCCCTGGCCTGGCGCACGGAGCGCGCCGGTGGCGGCGCTGGAGGCGCCGCCCGGGGGGGCCCAGCGCCGGCTCGAGGAGTCCACGCGGAGCTTCGAGGGTCTGTCGAGCAGCGGCGAGGCGTCCTGGCTGGCCTATACAGGCACACCAAGGAGTGCTCTCAGAGCCTTCCCGGTGGTTTGCGAGAGGTGTTCTTGGCACGTTTCTGGTCGAGGCCGTCCTGGTGTAACACATCGGAGTTATGTTCTAAGAACACTGTGCCCACACCAAACGTCAATGGACGTCCTAGGGTCTCAGGCTGAGTCTCAGGTCAGGGATGGGTTTCTTGTGGAAGGCTTCCTGTGGACGGGCCCTTGCTGTACTCTTCAGTCGGGCCCGTCCCTCTACAGGAGGAATATCCAAAAATAGTCCAACAAATAATACGGGCTTTGTTTTGTGATTATTCCCTATCTAGGCTCTGCCTAGAAGGGTTCTTACTCTCTAGCTTAAAGGGGCCGGGCAGTGGAAAGCGCCCCGGGCGGTTCCCCCAGTCCCCTGGGAGCGGTTCCCCCCAGTCCCCTGGGAGCTTTAGCTTTAGCTTTAGCTTTAGCTTTAGCTTTAGCTTTGCTTTAGCTTAGCTTTAGCTTAGATGTAGCTTAGCTTTAGCTTAGCGTTTCGCTTAGCGTTTCGCTTAGCTTTTCGCTTAGCTTTAGCTTAGCTGCAGCTTAGCTTTAGCTTAGCTGTAGCTTAGCTGTAGCTTAGCTTTAGCTTAGCTTTAGTTTAGCTTTAGCTTAGCTTTAGCTTAGCTTTAGCTTAGCTTTAGCCTAGCTGTAGCTTAGCTGTAGCTTAGCTTTAGCTCAGCTTTAGCTCAGCTTTAGCTCAGCTTTAGCTCAGCTTTAGCTTAGCTTTAGCTTAGATTTAGCTTAGATTTAGCTTAGCTTTAGCTTAGCTGTGGCTTAGCTTTAGCTTAGCTTCAGCTTAGCTTTAGCTTAGCTTCAGCTTAGCGTTACTGTTACTACTAATGCTGCTTTCCTAGGTGTTCCAACTCCTAGGTAGGGTCGCACTGGGATAATTGTTTAGCCATTTTTCCCTACCTAGGCTATGCCTAGAAGGGTTCTTACTCTGTTGGCTTAAAGGGGCCGGGCAGTGGAAAGCGCCCCGGGCGGTTCCCCCAGTCCCCTGGGAGCCAAGCAAAAGCAACAGCAAAGGTAAACGCAAACGCGCGGTTCCCCCAGTTGCGCTCCCTGGGTGCCAAGCAAAAGCAAAAGCAAAGGCAAAAGCGAAGGCAAAACAAAAGCATAGCATAGCATAGCATAGCATAGCATAGCATAGCATAGCATAGCATAGCGCAGCATTGCATAGCGCAGCATAGCATAGCATAGCCTAGCCTAGCCTTGCCTAGCCCAGCATAGCATTGCGCAGCACAGCATAGCATAGCAGAGCAGAGCAGAGCAGAGCAGAGCATAGCATAGCATAGCATAGCATGAAGAGAAGGAGGAGGACGGCGTTTACCGTTCCTACTAATGTTGCTTTCCTAGAGGCTCCAACTCCTAGGTAGGGTCGCACTGGGATAATTGCTCACTTTTGGAATATTTGTAACTGTTCGTCCACAATCCGCCTGTAGGGGGGCATGCCCGACCTAACTGTACTCGGACCCCACGTAAAGGGGGCCTTCCTGTCAGGACCTCGCCCGCCGCGGCCGCCGCCGGGCGCCGCCTCGGAGCCGTGCGGGGCCGGCGTGCCGGCGGAGACCTCCCGCCGCCGGCAGCCTCTCGTGGGGCATGGCGAGGGGCGGGCGGGCGGGCGAGGCAGGGGCTCACCAAGCGCGTGGCCCGACCAAGCGACCAGAAGGCTGCGCGACTCGCTGCGGCAGAACGCCTCCGTTCGTTTCTTGTGAAGCTGATGGCTCGTCGGCAGACGCTGCTGCTCGCCTCGTGCGACGAGCCATTGTCGTGGGACGGTCTTGGCCTCGATGTTGAGGTTCCACTACTCGCAAAGTGCCTATACTCGCAAGCGTACGGACAAAATCAAGAGGTTCGCTTCGGTGAGCTTTGTCGCAGATCCCCCGCGGCGGGTGGGTGGGCGAGGCAGAAGAAGAAAAACCACATAGGGGGGCCAGGCCAGATCCAAGAAATCCGCGCGGAGCGCCAACAGATTATGCTGATGTGGTTTTAGTCCCAACCCTCCTCGGCTGGGTATTCGTTTTGACTAGAGCACTGCGGTCGCGTCCTCCCGCCCCTCCTCCTTGTCTCCTCTTGCCTTGCCTGGGGTGCTGCGATCTGCCAATTGTCGCCACTGGCGAGGGCTGCTGGTGGGTCCAGCGGAGTGAGGCGCCGCGCGGACCTGAGCGGGACCTCGCCGTCCCTGGGGGGCTGCGATCTGCGAAACAGCCTCCACTTTCGAGGGCTGCTGGTGGGTCCAGCTGAGTGGGGCAGCGCGCGGACCTGAGCGGGACCTCCCCGTCCCTGGGGGGGGGGGGGCTGCGATCTGCGAAGCAGTCGCCACTTTAGAAGGCTTCTGGCGGGTCCAGCGGAATGAGGCAGCGCGCGGACTTGAGCAGAACCTCCCCGTCCCTGGGGGGGGCTGCGATCTGCGAAACAGTCGCCACTTTCGAGGGCTGCTGGTGGGTCCAGCGGAGTGAGGCTCCGCGCGGACCTGAGCGGGACCTCACGTTCCCTGGAGGGCTGCGAGCTGCGAAATTGTCGTCACTGTCGAGGGCTGTTGGTGGGTCCAGCTGAGTGAGGCAGCGCGCGGACCTGAGCGGGACCTCCCCGTCCCTGGGGCGCTGCGATCTGCGAAATTGTCGCCACTTTCGAGGGCTGCTGGTGGGTCCAGCTGAGTGAGCGACGAGGGGCTGGGGCTGGGGGATTAGGACGAGGATGGAAGAAGGGAAGAGGGACTTAGGAGGGAAGCAGGAGAGAGGAGAGGAAAGGCGAAAAGAGTGAGGCACCGCACGGACCTGAGCGGGACCTCGCCGTCCCTGGGGGGCTGCGATCTGCGAGACAATCGCCACTTTAGAAGGCTGCTGGTGGGTCCAGCTGAGTGAGGCAGCGGCGCGCGGACCTGAGCGGGGCCTCCCCGTCCCTGGGGGGGGGGCTGCGATCTGCGAAACAGTCGCCACTTTAGAAGGCTGCTGGTGGGTCCAGCGGAGTGAGGCAGCGCGCGGACCCGAGTCAGAACTCCCCGTCCGGGGGGGGTCTGCGATCTGCGAAACAGTCCGCCACTTTCGAGGCTGCAGGTGGGTCCAGCGGAGTGAGACCCCGCTCGGGCCCTAGCGTGAACTCGCCGTCCGTGGAGGCTGCGATCCTGCGAAACCGTCGCCATGTTCGAGGGCTGCTGGTGGATCCACTGATTGGTACAAGCGCGCGACCTGAGCGGGACCTCCCCTCCCTGGGGGGGGGGTGGGGGGCTGCGATCTGCGAAACAGTCGCCACTTTAGAAGGGCTGCTGGCTTCTGCGGGTCCCAGCCCGCATGAGGCAGCGCGCGGACCTGAGCAGAACCTCCCCGTCCCTGGGGGGGGGGGCTGCGATCTGCGAAACAGTCGCCACTTTCGAGGGCTGCTGGTGGGTCCAGCGGAGTGAAGCGCCGCGCGGACCTGAACGGGACGTCCCCGTCCTTGGGGGGTTGCGATCTGCCAAATTGTCGCCATTTTCATGGGCTGCTGGTGGGTCCAGCTGAGCGAGGCACCGCGCGGACTTGAGCGAAACTTCCCCGTCCCTGGGGGGTTGCGATCTGCGAAACAGTCGCCACTTTAGAGGGCTGCTGGTGGGTCCAGCGGAGTGAGGCACCGCGCGGACCTGAGCGAGACCTCGCCGTCCTTGGGGGGCTGCGATTTGCGAAACCGTCGCCGCTTCCGAGGGCTGCGGGTGGGCTCGCCACTTCCGAAGGCTGCTGGTAGGTCCAGCGGGGTGAGGCACTGCGCAGACCTGAACGGGACCTCGCCGTCCTTGGGGGGCCATGTCATGTTGTTGCTGCCCCGCCAACGTTTCAGCCCCTTGCCCACCGTCTCCTTTTGGACCTTGCGTCTTCCTTAGTGACTCAGGGGTTCACTTAGTTACTCATTGTTTTTGTTCCTTGTTACTCAAGTATACGCGTCCATGTCACGTCGCCGCCTTTTCGTCAAATTTCCCAAGCTACTCCTGCCCAGCATTGCGCAGGATTTGGGTACGTCGCCAGGGTAATTTTTCTTCTGGGCAGAGGCGGGGAGGTCAGGGCGTAGAGGGGGAGAGAGGGGGGGGGGGGGGGGGAAAAGGGAGGGGGCGGGAGGAAAGGGGAGGATAGGAGGGGGAGGGGCGGGAAGTAGCGGAGGAGCAGCGAGGACGAGGATGTACGCTCCAGTTGTTCGCCTCAAGTCTGCGCAACGTCAAAAAAATGAGGAGGAGGAGGAAGAAGGACGGAGGAGGATGGAGGGATGGGAGGGAGGGAGGAGGGGAGGGAGGGAGGAGGGAGGGAGGGGAGGCGAGGGAGGGAAGGAGGGAGGGAGGAGGAGGAGAGGAGGAGGAGGAGGAGGAGGAGTAGTAGGAGGAGGAAGGAGGAGTGAAGGAGGAGGGGGGAGGCGAGGATGGAGATGGAGGGGGCAGGGAGTAGAGAGGGGGAGGCCGGGAGCATAGGAGGGGTCCAGGCCTCCGAGGTGGGGTCCGCGCAGAGGGGGTCGGAGGATGGCGCCGCATCGCCGCTGCAGCGGCGGTGCGGCTGGATGTGGAGCACGTGCTTCCCCACGCCGACGTCGCGGATGCATAAAACGACGCGAAGATCGGGACAAAATCGGATCGGGATAACTCGAAATCTCTGAGAATCGGCGGGTTTGGAGGATGTATTGGGCGCCGCGGCCGCTCCAGAGCGTTCCGGAACGCTCTGAGAGCGCTCCAGAACGCTCTGGAGCGATTTATCCCGATCCTAGCCCTGTTTAATGCATCGCCGACGTCGCCGATGCATCGCCGATGCATCGCCGATTCATCCTCGATGCATCGCCGATGCATGGGCGATGCGGCGCGATGCATCCGACCCCATCTGCGCGGACCCCAGCTGGGAGGCCTCTGAGAGGGAGGGGGGGAGGGGGAGGGAGGAAGTGGAGGAGGAGGGACGAAGAGGAGGGGCAGGATGATTATGAGGAGGAGGGGGAGATGGAGCAGGGGAGAACTGGAGCAATCATTCGAAGAACAAATGGCATACGCATAGACCTCCGAACGTTTTTTACGTCGTTTCCTTGTGCTCTCGATGAGGAAGGAGGAAGAAGAGGAGCAGGCAAAGGCGGAGGACGAGGAGGGAGATCTATCAGGGGAGGAACGGAGCAGCCGTATGTTGCACTCCCAGACATGCGACGTCCTGATTTTTTCAGGACGGGGTCCCTGGAAGTCCCGACCCGTTCCCCGGGACCGGTTTCTCATCCTGAGTCGTTTTTTGATGGTCCCGAGGCCCAGCGAGGGCCCCCAGGGGCCGAAAATAGCGAAAAACTGGCCGCCCTGATTTTTTCACGACGCGATCACGTCTGGGCTCGCGTGCTGCCTCTCCGGGCGGCTGTTGGCCTGGGGCCCCTGCAGCGGATGCGCGCCGTGCTGGGCCAGAGGCGCGCCCTCCCGAAGGGGGGACGGCCGGCGCACGTAGGGCCCGCCTGCGGCCCCTGGGGGCCGAGTGAACTCCCAAGGGCCGAGTCGGACGAGAGGCCGGCGATCAGTTCTACCATTCCACCTCCTCCTGCTCCTCCTCCACCTCCTCCTCGTCCTCCTCCTCCTCCACCTCCTCCTCCTCCTCCACCTCCTCCTCCTCCCCCTTTTCATCCTCCTCCTCCCCTCCTCCTTTTCCTCCGTGCCTCCTCCCCCCTCCTCCTCCTCCCTCGAAGGGATAGGGCAAGGGGGATCGCGAAGGCTGTTACGTTCAAGTCGGGCACGCCCTCTACAGGAGGGATCTCAAACTCAATATATATATAATATATAAATGTGTATATATATATAATATATATATAAATATATATATATAATTAGTATATTCCTCTTCCTATATTTTTAGAAGCCCAGGCGGGGGGAAAACCCTCCCCCCCCCAACAAAAAAAACTGGACTCCCGGGAACTGGGGCTTTGGGACCCTCCAGACGGGCCTCGAAGCGGCCCCCCTGGCCTCGCAGGGCGTTTTGCCAAGCCTTCCCAGCACACCTTGGGCGATCAGGAAGGGTCATCGGAGACGTCTCAGAGACCCCATGACAGCGCAAGAGCGCGCCAAGAGTGACCGACGTGACCTCAAGATTGCCCAAGAGGCATCCAGGACGGCCCCAAAGAGGCCTCCAAGAGCACTCCCAAGAGGCAAAAATCATTGATTTTCTGTTAGTTTTGGGTGAATTTGGGGGTTCTCCTCTTTTCGGCTTCCCGACACTCCAAGACGGCGGTCTTCTGGGCGTCCGAAGCCGCCTGGGAGGCTCCAAAATCGCCTCACAACCATCCTAAAGGGCTTGCAGGCAGTCCAAGGGAGCCCCCCAACCGCACAACACGGGTCCAAGATGGCCCTCAGTGAGCTCCATGGCGGCCCAAGATGGCCCCAAGACACCCTCCGAAGCATTCCAAATCTTGATCTGGTCGTTCAGGGAGACCGTGGTTGGAGGCAGGGTGGCCCGAGGAAGCCCCCAGAGGCCCCCAGAATACGCCCAGGAGGCCTCCAGGATGCCTTAAGAAAGCCTGAAACCATTTTTTTAGGCCCCCAGAGGCTCTCCCAGGAGGAGCCTCCGCAAAAAAAAGCTGAGGAGGAGGGAGAATGCGCAGGGTATGGCGAACATGAGGGAAAAGAAGCATGGAGGAAGGATAAACGAATAACATTATCATAGCGGCGATGCCGGAGAGGGCAACAAGGAGTTATCGCTAAATTCTCGGCTTGACCTTCCTGCTATTCCGCCTGCATGCCAAACTTCAAGGACCAAGGTGCATGGCACGACGCGCCACTGCAGTCTTGCATATATATATATATATAAACAAAAAACATAGTCTGAGGACTTTATTTAATAGTATGTGAGGGTATTTGTTGAATAGTTTCTGGGTGTTTTTATCTTTCATCCAAAATCCGTCTGTAGGGGGACACGCCCGACCTAGTGCTACATGCAGCTGGTTTCGGCCCCGCCGAGGGGCCCATTCCTCGCTAAAAGTGGTCGCCTCCAATGCCGGGAGGCGCCAGGAAATCAGCTACGTGAGCTGATTCGCTAAGCCCCCCTTTGCTATCCCCCGTTTGTTCCGGCCCGAAAGATGGGGGTAGCAGTTTTTCAGGGGGGAGGTGCAGGGCAGGACGCAGGAGGGTGGCCATTTCGTCCAGTTAATTGGCGGAGCGTTCCGATACGCCACAGCCACAGCATGACATGTGTAGGACAACAGCTTGGATCTCTCATCGATGCAGCATGTAGCTCTGAGTGCCGCGGTTCCGTCGTAAAGCTTGAACTTGTTTGAGAGGCTCCATCGCGTTCAAAAGGCATAACGTAGCAGTGTGCAGCTTACCTTCTTAGACTGACCACGTGTACTCTGTGTGAGACCATGAGCCGCTACCACCAACACTAACCTCATGCTGGTCACGCCTCGATGCGTGGTTAACGTTGCCTGGCATATTTTGTACTTACAGCCTGTATCAAATCCACGACGATGTATATCAGCTAGCGTCTCCGAACCTTGATCTCATCATGTGCAGCTTAGTTGAAACTGGACTCGCGTAGTCGGAAACATCGTGATCAGAGATCATCGGAGTGTTCATGCGTCAATTCCGCGCAAGCGGACGGAGCTCATCGCGATCGGTTCGACTCACCCCAGCAGCGTGTCATTCACCATTGTTTGTTATAGTGACTCTTCTTGGCCAACCAACGTTCTGTTGATCCAGCTGGTCCACGCGTTCTGGCCCGTTATATCAGAAACACTTGGAAGCACAGCAACGTGGTGGTGTGGCCGATAGTATTATGGTACAGCATCGTCAGGGCGCAGTCTGGCGTAGCTAATATGATTTTTCATAAATGTCTACATTGCTCACCCATTTCCCGATGATGTGACATTGCGTTGCTAATGCGGCTGCCACATGTCCGCAGCCTCTTGGGCTCACGCCAGGTTGTTCAAATGTGACGCGTATGCGTGACGATGTTGCGGCAGGCGCGTCGGTCCCATCGCAGAGGCAGCATTCACGCGGGCACTCTCTTCAGCATGGGGACGCTCAGTGGCCGAGTTCGCGCGACGCTGTGTGGGGCGGCGCTGTGGCTGCTGCTGCAGCGTACCCCCAAACGGCACTGCGTGCTCACGCCGCCGGCCTTTGGAATCCACAGCGGGACCCCCTCGGCCACTTCGTCTGCCGGAAGGGCGCAGCCACGGCGGCGAGGCGGCCTCGCGGCGGCTTCCCGGGCGCCCGCCGTCGCGGCCGCGGCGGGGCCGCCGCGCGGGGGCGTGGCGCTGATCCCGGAGTGGGATGCAGCCGAGCTGGCGGCCTGGCTGCAGGAGGAGGAGCTCGGAGGAGGCGAGCGTACCGACACTGATGCCCCTTTCTCCTCCACTGCGCCCTCTCAGGCCTCCTGTGGGTGGGGGGGCGGGCGGCCCTCGTCGCCACGTCTGGACTCGGATTCCCCTCGGAGTCCCGGTCAGAACGCGGGAGAGGCAGGGCGGAGCGGTATCGGGCCTTCGGGACTGCGGCAACGGGGGCGCAATCAGCGTGGGGGGATGTCGAGGGTTTCAGGAGGTTGGCCTTCGGCGGAGCGGCCTCTGAAATGCCTCGGCGGGTCCGCGAGGTGCACGACAGGTGCGCGCCTCTGCACCCCACGTGTTCTGGCACCCCCGCTCAAGAGCACCCACCAGCTGCGAACGTATGCACATCCGCGCCCTCGCGGTCCGTATTCTGGGGCGTGATCCCGCGGATGCGCGATCGCACGAGTACGTTCCGCGCGGGGCGTCCGCGAAGAAGCGCGCCATGCCCGGGGGGGTCTCGGCCCAGAGGCCCGGCCCACGAGGCCGCGGATACGGACATTCCCAAGCAGTGCTTGCACGCAGGGTTTCTGATGTCGTTTGAAAGAAACTGGGCCTGGTTGGCGGTCTGGCTGCGGTGGCCGTCGCCGCCCCGTGGCCGCCTCGTCGCCGCCTTTAATCTGGGCCTGGTTGGCGGTCTGGCAGTGTCGTGGTCGCCGTCGCCGCCCTGTCGCCGCCTCGTCGCCGCCCGTCGTCTGGGCCTGGTTGGCGGTCTGGCGGCTCCGTGGTGTGGCCGTCGCCGCCCCGTCGCTGCCTCGTCGCCGCCCGTCGTCGGGGCTCCGTGGTTGGCGGTCCGGCGGCTCCGTAGTGTCCATCGCGGCCCGTCGCCGCCTCGTCGCCACCCGTGGCCACCGCCCCGTTGCACCCCCCCGTTGCAATCCAATCGACTGCAGCACGTAGATGCTCGATTCAAACAGTTTCGGATACGTCCCCTTGTTTATCGGCTTGCTCTGGAAGAGTGCAATTGACGTATGGTTATGCCGCATCGTTCGTTATATATAACGTATACTCAAACAAAGAATGAGCTCAGACCAGCCCAGGCAAACCGTCACCGCCACCGATTCACCCCTGTCAGACAATACTATTCGCGCATATTTGCTTCAAAGGTTTGGGACAACATCGAGGCACCATTGTGTTATTGCTATTGATCGTATCAGGACTCTTGATTGCCATTATTTGCAACGAGTTCATCACATGTGACCCGGCGGGCCTCTCGCGGGCGCATGTCGAACTCATTCGAACGCCTTTGCGCAGTCGCCTGGGGACACGACCCTTGCTAGATGATACCATGCGGGCCACCTGAGCCCTTCGGCCTCGCGCGCATGCCGAAATCTTTGCAACGCTCTCATCACCGACACGTGGACACCATCGTCGTCACCGGCGTGATCACCAACGGCGACGTTGTTAGCTTTGCAGTCGTCATCGCCATTATCGTCATTGTAATCGCCTGTATCATCATCGTGTCTGCCGCTGTCGACTTTCTCATGATACCGCACCCGCCCAGGTCACCGACCCGCACTGACCCGCGCGTCAGCACGGCCTGCGAAACGCGCTGGGATGTCCCCAGCGGTCAGCGCTGGGAAGCCCCCAACTGTCTCTACCCAGCGGTCGCGCCAGACTAGCTGGCCGCTCTGCGCGCGAGCCTACGCGCGCTACCGCTGCCACAGCGATGCGCCAGCCAGCGCCAGGCAGTCATCGCAGCATCGCCGCATGGGTTTTGCAAACCAAGTTGTGGGTGGGTGGGTGGGATGATTGCGCGAGCAGTGGAGGTGACCGCTCACTAGTGAACATTCGATAATCGATTCTCCTTCCCGAAAAGAAAGTCGGATGTACCGCCGTCCCCCCGGCTTTCTTGACCCTCCCAGGGGTAGTACGATTTACATACGGTTGTGCCTCATCGTACGTTTCAAACATGAACTCGTTTCATCCCAGCCCAGCAGGTATCGACCCCCCATATTCGCAATAACGCTATGCGCGCACGCTCGTTTATGACAGGTCCTACATACTCAAAATCCCCTTGCCAGAAACCGTTAGCGTCCACACGCGCGAGGCGTCGCACGCGCAGGCCGAGGTCTTTCAAACACCGTACCTTTAGTACGGACCTCCAGAGAGCAATTACCGAAAACATGTGAAGCAGCCAGCGGTGTCGGAACATGACTGTTCCATGAAAGCCTGCGCGCGCGCGCCCTAAGCGCCTTCGTACGAACACCATCGGTTTCCCGACAGTTTCATCACATGCGACCGTGCTGGCCATGTCGGAATCATTCGAACGTTTTTGCGCGCTTGCCGGGGGGGGGGCACGATCCCTGCGGAATCGTCTCCCTGTCGGCAGCGCGCGCGCGTGTCGAGATCCTTCCAGAACCTTCCTCGCTGATTTGTGGCGCGATCCGCATCGTCACTGGCGCGATCCGCATCGGCGTCGTCATTGGGCTCGCCGCCGTAATCGTCATCATCATCACCAGCACCCCTACACGCAGCATCGTGTCAGTCGCTGTCGACGTCACCGTGATACCGCGCCCGCTCGAGTCACCGACTCGCACTGAAGAGTCCCGCGCGTCAGCACGGCCTACCTGCCGCGCTGGGCAGTGCAAAGGGGTCATCGCCACCGTGGCCTCGTCTGTTGTACCGGGCTAGCTGGCCGCTTTGCGCGCGAGCCTGCGCGCGCTACCGCTGCCACAGCGATGCGCCAGCCAGCGCCAAGCACTGTGCACAATCTCCGCAACATGGGTTTTGCAAACCAAATTATGGGCGGGTGAGTGGGATGACTGCGCGAGCAGTGGAGTTGACAACTCGCTGCGACCAAATATTTTTCCTTTTATCTGTATATAGATATAAAAAACAAGAACTTCCGATCTACAGTTCTCCCCCAGGATTATCGGTCACACCTGGGGACGTGCAGTTGAAATACGAACTCGTGCTACCCAGCCAAGCTGGTCTCGACCCCCCCCCCAACACACCCGACCACACACTGCCAGGCAATCTCAAACGTTATCAGTGTTCAGAAGTCCGCTGGCAACACATATGACGAAATACACGCGCGCGTGTTTGCGCGCGAACGTCATTATAGTTCAACAGCCACAGGTTTCGTACGGATCTCAGGGTCAAGTTGCAGAGAACATATGCGCACATAGATGGTTCTGTATGTTGATTGTTCAAAGAATGCCTACGCGCGCTTTTGTGAATTCGGATGGAAACCATATGTGATCAATTTTTCATCACATGCGGCCAAGCGGCCCCCCCGCCTGCGCATGCCGAAATCATTCGAACGCCCTTGCGCGCTTGCCGGGGGGGGGGGGCGACTTTTGTCAAATAACACCGCGACGGCTATTCGCGCCCGTCGGCCGCGCTCGCATATCGAATTCCTTCCCGCATGTTCATCTCCGACACGTGGACACCATCATCGTCATGGGCGTGGTCAGCATCGGCGCCGTCCCTGGCATTGCCGCCGTCATCGTTACCACGGCCACCAGCACAGCTACAATCATCATCGTGCCAGCCGTTGCCGACGTCGCCGTGATACCGCGCCCGCCCGAGTCACCGACTCGCACTGAACTGCCCGCGCGCCAGCACGGCTTGCGAGCCGCGCTTGGCAGTGCCCAGCGGTCAGCGCCACCGCGGCCGCGCCAGTCGCGCCAGACCAGCTGGCCGCTCTGCGCGCGAGCCTCCGCGCGCTGCCGCGGCCGCAGCGATGCGCCAGCCAGCGCCAGGCAGCCATCGTAATCGCCGCCGCGTGGCTTTTGCAAGCCAAGGTGCGGGTGAGTAGGTGGGGTGATTTTGCGAGCAGCGTGGTTACCCACTCCTGGCGACCAGAGTTCAATGGCACCACGCAGGTTGCACCACGTAAGCTGCTCCACGCAGCCTGCGCAGCATAGGTTGCAGAGCGTAGGTTGCACCACCTAGATAGCACCACTTACATCGCACAACGCAGATCGTGAACCATAAATGGTACAGCATATATTGCACAACGTCGGCGCTCCTTTTCCCGAAGAAGTTTGGACTCACCACTCCTCCTTCTCTGGCTTTATCGCTTTCCGCTATGTTGCAATGTGTAGCTGGGCTTCCCGTCGTCTCAATCCGTACTTTCCCAGCCAGGCCGCTATCGCCCCTCCTTCACGACTGTTAGGTAGTATTTTGCTTGCGCGCTCGCTTATCGAAAGCCCAGGATTTGCAAAAACGCCTTGCAACACATGGGGCAACGTCGACAGACTTCTGTTCAATTGCGTTGGGTTTCGGTCGGATGTCAAAGTCGAGCTTCACGAAAACATATAACGTAGAACCAAGGGTCGTTGCAACAGAACTAACCATCTGCGCCCGTGCTCTGGTTGGTTCTTCGGGCGCCATGTGCTTCCAGCACTGTTCCTCACATGCGACCAGGCGGGCCCCTCGCGCGCGCAGGTCGGAATCATAAGGCCGCCCCTGCGCGCTTGCCGGGGGGAGGGGGGACGCTCCTTTGTCCAATAATGCCGTGCGGGACGCTCGCGCGCATCGATCGCACGCGCGTGTTCTGGTCCCTTTTGGTAGGCCCAAACCCTCATCACCGACACGCGGGCAGCATCGTAGCCTTCGGCGTGACCAGCATCGGCGCCGCCACTTGCCTTCGTCATCGTCGCCGTCATCGCTACCATCATCACCGTTAACGTCACCGTGCTACAGCGCCCGCCCGAGTCCCCGATTCGCAGTGCAGCGCCCGCGCGCCAGCGGGGCCTGTGAGAAGCATTGTGAAGTGCGCATCATTGAGCGCCGCCGCGGCCGCGTCGGTTGTGTCAAACTAGCTGGCAGCTGGCCACAGAGATGCGCCAGCCAGCGCTAAGCACTCATTGCAATCGCTGCTGCATGGGTTTTTCAAGCCAAATTGCGGGTGTGTGGGTGGCTATGATTGCGTGAGCAGTGGAAGTGGCAACTGACAATTCCAAGTTCTTCAATTTCAAGGGCACCGCATATATTGCACGCGCAACATATTGTACACAGCGCATATTGCACCACATTGCGCAGCATCGCAGGCACCACATATATTGCACAACATCTATTGCACCATCTCGATTGCACGACATCCTTTGCACAACATTGGTTGCCAGACGCACTGTTCAGGGCCCACGATGGCAAACATGCCCTTCGTCTAACGAAACACCGTACGGCATGGATACCCTTCCCCCCCCAAGGACGAAGGGGTGCAGCTCGCCGTCGACGGGGGCGACTTCGGGCGGCCGATCTCGTCGCCCAGCATCAGCGGCTGGTGGGCGAGCTTCCGCCAGCTCAGGCCAGAGAGCCAACAACAGCATGAACATTTATTTTGGAGCTCCGCGCGGTTCTTGGATCGGCGCTGGACACCCCCAGTGGCGCGCGGAACGCGCCACCGGCGCCGCCGGAGGCGCCGCCAACGGGACCCAGCGTCGACCCCCAAAACGAACGCGGAGCTCTCAGAAACCATGTGTATGCCGTTTCGATGCACCTCGGCCAGGAACTCCGCGCGCGAGGTGCTGCGGCACCAGGCCTTCCGCGTCGCGGCCCGCCTGGAGCCGGGAACCGCCGCGGCCGGCGCGAGCTCGGCGGGGAGCGCCGCGGAGGTTCGGCCACGCGCAAAGGTGGGTGGGGGGAGGGGGGAGGGCTTCTTAGAAGGACCCCTGCTTCTTAGAAGGCGCGGGCCTTATATCCATAGTTGTCAGGCCGGCGCCTTCTAAGAAGCAGTAGCCTCCCTCTGAGAAGCCCTCCCCCCTCCCCCTACCCCCCTTGTGCGCGCCGCCACGAGGTCGTGGGCCACGTGGAGGTGGCCGTGGTGCGCGAGCGGGGCGGCGCGGGCGGCCAGAGCGGTGGCCTCTTCGGGCCCGCGCCCTACGGCATCCTGCTCTTCCTCTACGTGCGCCCCGGCGCGCGGCGGCGCGGCGTGGCCACCGCGGCGGTGAGACAGGCGTGGCAAAGGGGCTCGGGCTGCGCACACGGAGCTGGCACTGAGGGGCCTGCTTTCCACCACCACCACCACCACCATGAGTTGGAGGGGAGGAGGAGGAGGAGGAGGAGGAGGAGGAGGAGGAGGAGGAGGAGGAGGAGGAGGGGGAATCCGTAGCCATTTTGGCTCAAGGCCACTGCCCGAAGCCACCCTCTCTCGGTCGTGAGGGTGTATTCGGTTAGGGCCCAAGTCTGCCCGCAGGAGGGCGCCATTTTCTCGGTCGGAGGCCGAGAGCACTTCCACATTCGTTATCCCGTCAGCCAGCCCTGCTGGCCCTGCAATGAGCGCTGCTGCCTCCGCCGCCTCGCTCGATGGCATCGCTCAGGAGTGGGAACTCGCGAGCACCTTCCCCACACAGGAGGCTGCCGCTGTCGCCGCTGCAGAAGATGCTGCGAAACGGCAACGCATCGCCCACGCTGTTGCCCCCGAAGACGCTGCTAGCCATAAGGAGTACGTGGACACCACCAAGAAGAGCATGCTCGCTGCCCTGGCCAACGTCCAGACCTCGGTGGCCACGCTCACTAACACCTTCACAAGCAGCTGGAATGACATTGACAAGAGGATCGAGGCGCGGTTCAACGGTGTGGAATGCCGCCAGTCTGCCCAAGAAGCCCGCATCGACGTCCTCGAAGTCCAGATCCGCTCGCTCACGGAGACCCTCGGCGACATCAAAGCTGCTCGCCCTGCTCCTCCTGCTGCCGCTCCTGGCTTCAATCGCAATACCGACCCGACCATCCTTCTGCTCCGCACCAAGCTGTCCTGCGCCAAAGCTGGAGTCCTCGCTGCGCTCTCCGACTGGCTCGGCCGTGCCCAGCTCAACGAGTCTGACTTCTCAGTGGAAGGCGAACCTGCTTCCAACAGGTACATCCTGCGGATCAATGGTTCGGTCCCCATATGCCTCTCGGAAAGTCCAGCAGGCCCTCGGCGCTCTTCGGCGACATGACCAGACATGAGAGCGCCTCCAGTGCCAGGCCCCCGACAACTCCATGCAGGAGATATTCATCTCTGGTGACAAGAACGTGGCCCAGGTCAAGAGAGAGCTCGGCCTCAAACTTGTTCGCCGTGAGCTCGAACTCCACTACGGGCACCTTCGCTTCTACAGTGACAGAGACAAGGGTGAGATCTCGTGCCAGTGGAAGCCGCTGGTACATGTGGAACCACAGGCTGGAGAAGCACCGCCCAAGCTCTCGTTCTGCCTCGCCAACCTCAACGCGCTGGGGATCGACAAGACCAAGATCCTTGATGGCGTCATGGCTGGCTTCAAGTCCGCAAGTGAGGCGACGTGGAGTGTTTAGCCCGCTGCTGGCGCAGTGGACTGATTCGCACGGCTCCCCGACCCCTCTCTCGCTGGCCACATGGAACGCCCAGGCGTTGTTCCACTACAAGGCCGCCATTCGCTCCAGGAAGCTCGCTCTCGCGCGCTCGCTGTGGAAGACTGGGTCGATCATCTCGCTCCAAGAGACCCACGGCACGATGACTGAGTTGCGGGACTTCGCCTACTTCTCAACTCCGCCTTCTCTTTCGCCTCTTCGTTCTGCCCTAACATCCGAGCAGGAGGAGTCGTTACCCTGTACCCCAACTTCGAACATCTTCCGAGTCGGCCTCATCTAGTTCAAAAGAATGTCCCGGTTCCAGGGCATCTGGATATCACATTTTAATATTCATCTCCATGGGCTTTCTGTGGGAGAACGGCACCTCGTTGCTCGGGCTCTTCGGGCTCGTCTTGCTGATGCCGCCTCTTCGCCCACTACTAGGCTGGTGATCGTGGCTGGAGATTTGAATCTGGCCGACTCGGCCCCGCGCTCGCTGGACGCAGACCCCTCCATTGACCCGCTAGATACCCTTCGAGATTGGCGCGCTTCCAGGGGCGCGATTTTGAGTCCTGTTTTCAGCTCCATGACAGAAACCGAGACCCCTGACCCCACCCACTACAACCGCGCGCTGGGCACCCTGAACACCATGGATCGGATCTTCGCGAGCTTTCCTGGGTGGGTCTGCAACCAGCTGTTTACCAGCGGCCAGGTCAGTAAGATCCCAGATGTCCTCCACGCCCAGGGCCTCTCAGACCACGCGCCGCTCGTGGTCAGCCTCGCTGGTGGTCCTCCGATCCCGTCTGGCGAACGCCCCATCCCGAAACATGTTTTCCTCCAGCCCGAGTACAAGGAATACCTCAGTTCTGTTGGGGCCCTGGGAGACACTTGCCACCTCTCCCCACCTCTTCTCCTCCAGTACCAGACGGGGATCACGAGGGAGGCTGCGTCTGTTGCTAGGAACGCCGTGATTGTGAAGCGCCCCGAGTCGATAGATACCAAGTTTTTGATTGTCAAGAGCATCAGTCGAGCGGTTTGGAGGCAGGATATCATTTTAGCAGAACGACTCAGAGCGTCACACTTCTTGGCCCGTCAGTACCTGGACGTTGACGTCCTCGCGCGCACGGTGACCCTCCTGCACGTTTTTTTGAATTATTGCAGGTCTCTTCCGAGCTCCACGGGGGTATCTCCGAGCGCGAGCAGGCTGAGACCAGGGCCAGCCTGACGAGGGTGCACCCAGAGAACCAGAAGCGGAAGCTCAAGAGAAGACTTCGCGCTGTGGTTCAGCGCAGTCGCTTATGGAGTCCGTTTGACCGCCGAGTTTCGCTTCGCGGCGTGCGCTGTGGGGATGGTGTCTGCACGGAGCCTGGACAAATGATGGAAGTATTATCTCAGCATTGGTCCCCCGTATTCTCGAAAACGCAGATCGGCTCCAAGAGCGCCCAGAGGTACCTCGACCGTTTCGGCGTCTCCCCTGACCTGATGGACTTGCCCCCTCCTTCCCTTCGCTCCGTGAAGAAATGCATCCAGGGCCTCGAGCACTCGGCCCCTGGCCCCGACGGGCTCCCGTATGCTGCATGGCAAGGGCACCCTGAAGGCTTTCTTATTCTCGACAAAATGATGCGGTGGATTCTCAACGGCAACCCCCTAATGGCCTCCTTCAGTGACCTCCGCAAGGTGTTCATTCCCAAAGGCTCCGAGGCCTCCGACGAAGTCGCGATTCATCGGGGCCCCAACCAGACTCGCCCCCTTGGTCTCAAAAACGCCTCGAACAAGATCATCGCGGGAATCGTTTGCCGCGAACTCAGCAAAACTCTGGATACTTTCATTGCCCCGATACAGCGTGGTTTCGTGGGTGGTCGGAACTTCGGGACCAACGGACTCGAGCTAGGTACGCACTCCAGGGTGTACGGCATGCATATCACGGACCCAAATGTAGCCATCTCGCACATGCCAGTTCTTGTCAGTTTCGATTGCGGCCAGGCCTTCCCGTCGATTGCGCATGAATGGCTGCTAATGTGCCTTCGACGTCTTCGCATCCCCTCCCCGCTCCTCTTCTTCCTCGAGATCCTCTACAGTGCTGTCCGGTGCTTCGTGCGCACCAACAACGCGCTCCGCTTCGCCTTCAAGATAGAGAGTGGCGTCATCCAGGGCTGTCCCGCATCAGGCATGATCTACGCCATCGCTTCGAATCCCTTCCTGTCCGACATCGACGCCTCCCTTCGTGCTCGTTCTCAGCCTGGCGGGGGCCGACGCCAGGCTCCCCGCGAGAAAGGCATCGCTCGGGCCTGTGCTGATGACGTGGGCGCTGCACTCCGTCAACTCGCCGATCTCCGTATTCTGAAGCGGCCCTTTGACCTGAGTCTCCGTCTCGCAGGTCTCACCTTGAAGCCGCCCAAGTGTTTCATTACCCCCCTGGGAAGCGAGTTCTCACAAGAGCTCAGCGAAACGATCACGGCTTGGCTGCGCGCGCAGCTTCCAGGGTGGGCCGCGTTCCAGGTTGTGCCGTTTTTGACTTACCTCGGTTTGGTGCTCGGTCCTGGGACCGACAATGAAAGCTGGACTGGACCCACTCGGAAATGGTTGGCCCGAGGCTGCGCCATCGCGCGTGCTAGACCTCCCACAGCAGTCACGCAATATCTTTATAACAAGAGAGCTGTGCCCACGATCGGGTATGTGGCTCAGTTCATGCCCCTTTCCCTCCTCGGACCTCGTTCGTTTGACTCGCTCGGGGCACGCCCTCTTCGCCTCTCTCTTTCGTGTGCCTCGCTGCTCCTTTTCCCGCGCTGGCTGGTTCGCCCTTTCCTCCTGGGGCGGACCCTCCGTGAACAGTATAGTTGTTCTATCCCTAGCCTCCCTGATGCGGACTGCTCTGGTGGCGCTCCCTGAATGGGAACCGCTTTTTCAGTTTCTCCGCGGGGCGGCTGTCGATCACCTGACCCTGCAGGAGATCGGAGAAGGACAACTCAGCCCGTCCTGGTGGAAATCCCCTCCTCTGGTGCAAAATCTCCCCCAGGCCGCTGCGGGCTTTTCGGGCCACGCCCAATGGGCGCAAGCTGGCTCGGCTCTCTAGCCTTGCAGTCTGCTCGCGCGTGTCTCAACCCTCCGAGCCCTTGCAATTCGGAGCCTAGGCCGCCTAAACCGAAGGTCCAGCGCGTGATTTCTGCCTCGCTCCAGTGCTCTCTGTTTCCTGACCCCTCCCCTCGATGTTCTCCTCTCGCCTCCTGGGCTGGTTTCCCGACCGTCGGGGCGAAATTCAAAGCATCAGCTGGACTAAGGTGAAGGCGTGTCTTGCTGCTCTCCCACTAGGCTTCAGCTCGGCAGTGCTCAAAACTATAGCAGGTGCATGGGTAACATCAGCTCGTATGCGCGACAATTCCCAGAGAGGATGCATGATGGGATGTGGCGGCCCCGACACTTTCCTGCATTACTGGGCGTACTGCCTTGTTTTCCAGTATTTGCTTGCTTTCATCATCCAGCCGCTTCAGTTCCTCGATTCTCCCATTGCTCGTCTCGGCCTGTGCTCTCCCTGTCGCGCTGATTTCGAGCCCGCTGCTGCTGTTCTTCTTCTCTTCAATGCCGCCACCGCCTCTCGTGCCTCTCTGGCCGATGCTTCCCTGCCCCTCGCTGGCTGTCACATCTTTGAATTACAGCCTGCTGTGCGATCCGCACTAGCGAGGCTCCGCGTCGCGAGCGCGGGCGCGGGCTCGGAGTAATCGACTTGGCGCGCCTCGGCGACGCGCCAGGAGGAGGAGGGGGAGGAGGAGGAGGATGGGGGAGGAGGAGGAGGAGGAGGAGGAGGAGGAGGAGGAGGAGGAGGAGGAGGAGGATGGAGGAGGAGGAGGAGGAGGAGGGAGGAGGAGGTGGAGGGAGGAGGAGGAGGAGGAGGAGGGGAGGAGGTGGAGGGGAGGAGGAGGGGGAGGACCGTCCCCCCCTCCAACTGAGGGTGGTGGTGGTGGTGGAAAGCAGGCCCATCATGCACGGGTGCTCTGGGCTGGCCTCAGCAGGCCCTCCGAGTAGCCCGGGGCGGTCTCAACGCCCCGGTGCCTCCCCTGGCCCGCGCCCCAGGTGGCGATCCGCGCCCCAGGGTTGGAGACCGCCCCGGACTGACTGGGGGGCCTGCAGAGGCCGGCAGGGACTGGTCCGAGGGACTGCGGAAGCCAGCTGGGGCTGCTTGGGGGGGCTGTCCGTGTGCAGCCGGAGGCCTTGCCAGACAGGCCTGCGAGTGGGGGGTGGGCCCAGAAGGGGGAGCCTCCAAGATGGTGCTCCTCGTGGACCCCGACAACGCGGGGGCACGGAAGCTATATGCGGATTCCGGGTTCAGGGAGTCCCGTTTCAGGAAAGAGAAGATGGGCAAGCAGTTCATCGTTGCTGTGTACGAGCCCAGAGAGGACGAAGCTACGGCGGTCACAGCAATGTTGGATTGAGGATGATGAGAGGTCTATCCGAACGCACTGGTGCCATGACCGCGTGCAGAGCCAGCAGCCAACAAAAAAGCAGGCTGCCTGGAGGCGGCCTGAGTGTGGCACACAGTGCCCTTCTGCACGTGCGCCTGTTGACACAGTTGAGTTGTTGCCAGCCGCGCTGTGTCGAGCCCCCATTTCTCGCCTGCGGTCTTGGCGCATCAGTAGAAGCGGCGTGCAAACCATGCATTTTTGTCTCCGCGATAGAGGACTATGGGAGGAGGGTGGCGACCAGATGTCGGCAAGGTTGCCGTGCATGTCGTCCTGGATGCTGCTCCACGCCCAGGAATCGGGGACCCGCAGTCGTGGTTTTGGACGGCTACCGTCTGCTCAATGCGACCGACCGAGATGACGGGTTATCTGCATCATCAGGTACCAGATCCGAGACGGGAGCACGGGCACACCCACAAGAAGGACACACATTGCAGATGCGTCGTCGGCGGCCCACCCGATGAAGGACCTGCCACCCAAGTCGCAGGCGATCCACAGCAGTGTGCCGCTCCTTGATCCATGGCCTGAGTGCAAACAGCGGCGCAAAGAGTATAGTAAGAAACACGCCGATGTTGTATTGAGGTGGAGGCAGCAGGCAAGGCTCCGAATAAGCGAGGGCCCCAGGAGCAAGTCAGGGGTAGAAGGACCGCGCTTGCCGAGAAGGCGCAGATCTGTGTGGATAGGGCATTGGGGCTCAGCAAGGTGCTTAAGGTCGAGGGACAAGACGAAAACGCGCTCCAAAACGATACTCCAGAGGCTCGAGAAGGCGAGTTAAAGTATGCCCACGGCGTCTTGCAGGGCAAGATAACGTCCTCCGACGCGTACTTCGCCTTCCTGGAGATCGACGCCAGGCGGATCGGGAGAAGACGATGCAGACGATGAGTTGGTGGGTGGCTCTGCCAGGTGCTCAGATCGGTGTCCTCAAGGTGGAGGTCCGCTTCCTGCAAAGGTCATGCGCGGAAGCTCAGAAGCAGCCCAGGCTGAACGACGATGCGGGGCCACCAATGAATCGGCGTGGACAGCGCGACCGGCCCGAGAGCAACAGAGGATGGCCCCGCTGGCGCGGACGGTTCGGAAGCGAAGGCACCCACGGACGTCGACAGATCGCGCGCATGGGCGGATGCGGCCGCACCCTCGGTTTTGGAGCGATCTTGGACTCCTCCCTGGTTGCCGTGGAGCGTTGGATGACCGAACATGCGAGAAAGCCAACATCGTCCCAAACGTGTCGGGCATCAATGTGTTTCGCAGTTGGGGGCAGTCTTGGGGATCCTCCTGAGGCGTTGCGGGGGCCTCATGGACAGTTTTCTGGCCATCTTGGGCCCCTGGATCCCGCGCGTGCTCTTTGGGTGGAGGGCAAAGGGTGAAATCTGAAATGCCGTTTCGATTGATCTTCGAGGCTTGAATCTGCAAAAGGTGAAGCACACGACGGATTTATTTTCGAGGTGCAAAAGCCCATGTGGATTTCACCCTGAGCCCTCCATCCGAAGAAAGTGCTCAGGGATAGCTTGTGGGCAACATATTCCGACACTTGACCCTCTGTGTCCGAAGTTTTCAGAGTGTTCCGTTTTGATGGCCGAGCCCGCTTCACAAATCGAAGGACACTCTACATTCGGTGCCTCGCGGCACCGCGGACAACTTCTTTATACCCGTCGGTCGTTGAGAGCAGGTATTTTTCTGGATGCCCAGATCCCAATCTACTCTAGGCTTAAGTCGGGCCTGTCCCTCCACAGGAGGAACATTCAAAAGTAATCAAAAATAGTATGGGGACGATGTTTTGACTATGTTTGAACATTTGTTGCATATCTTTCGATTATTTTTTTCAAAATTACTCCGCTGTAGGGGGACACGCGCGACCTAACTCTAGGCGCATCCCTACTTCAATGGCCGAGTGGTTTCCCCCCTTCCCCCCTCTTAGGGGGATGGGCGGAGGCCCAACCTGCTTCCAATGCCATCCGGCTCCATATGTTTTTGCTATTTTCTTGCGACCGACGGGTCTACACATGTGCGTGTATTAATCCGAAGAGACCCAGAGCTACGCTGTGAATGGACACGGGGAGGGAGGGTGGCTGGAACCGCCTCTTCTAAGAATATCTTGCAGTCGTCCTCCTCCTGACCCGTCCTCCTCCCATTTGGTCAAATTCTCCCCGCCTCTCTAAAAATTTAGCAGTCGCCCTCATGCTGTTTCGTCCTCCGCCTAGTTCTTCCAATGCCTCGGCATCGCTCGGACGTGTGCCTTTTTGTTCTCTGCGAGGGCCATCGAGGAGCATCCTGGATCGTCTTGCGACAAAGGCACGCACGAGACCGACGAATTTCACGGGGGACGGATGCTCCCCCATCGAGGGTCCCCCCCAGCGAAGACGCTCCCTGTCTGAATTGCTGCGCTGCCCTCGGCAAAGCGGCGCCGGGGTTCGAAGGGGAGCCGCGGAACTCATGGCTGCTGTTACTCGTACGTACACAGCAGCTAGTCGGCGACAGCTCCACCATCAGCGGCCCTCTGCAGTTTGAGCGAGGGTCCCGAGCTTTTTTTTGGACAGAGTCTGTTTCTGATAGTGCAGAGTTGCTAAGTCCATGAAGCATGACGCTATTCGGGAGGTGACAGCTCAGTATCAACCAGAGGGGGTCTGGAGGAAATTGGTAGTGAATGTTTTTCGCCGTGCTCGGGCTCCCCTGGCCCTCCCCTGGCCCACGAATCGGCAGAAAACGTTTGATGAACAGCCGGTTCTGGGGAAAGCATGGGGTCCATGACCCCTCTCCATGAGGACACCTTTCTTTCATGCCAACGTCAGTGTGCGAGAGGGAGGGTCTGCTAATGGAGAAATATGTCATTGAGAACGAGGAGGACGAGGAGGAGGGAGGATACCGCAGAACGCCAAGAGCGGGGTTGTCAACTGATTACCGGGCGCGGGCAGCTGCTGTCAGGGTCCTCGCATCTGAGTGCTCATCTAGGTGCGCGTCCTTCTCTTTTGTTCGCTCCGGAGCGTGGGCCGCGGCGCAGATCCCGACTCAAAGAGAAGCCCTGACAGGACGAACACCCACCGTTGTTGACAAGCCCGGAGTCGCTGGAGGGCGATGCGCCGCTGTCTCCGAACTGGGTTCGTGCACAAGGCGAGCCTGCTTTGTTTCTCTTGTGTAGCGGAGCCACATGGCCTTTCTCTGAAGACTGACGATTGAGTCCATGCATGTGGGCGCTTCGAACATGATGGCGCAATCAGTTTGAAGCCGTAGCCAGTGTGGTCAGTCCGGGCAAGCACAGAAGGCGTACGCGTCCCCGACGTGGTTTGGGGCAGATCACGCCAGAATCTAGATCCGATCGGTGGACACCTCAGGGCAGCCTGCCGGTCAGTACGCTCACAGAATCGATGATGCCACGCGCAATGCGCATACGGTCAGGAACGCTTGTTCGGCGTGTCGCGCCACCGCCATCCCTTGGCAGGGCATGCCGCGTCGCCGGGGCCGCTTTCGCGGCACGCTCAGCAGAGGGTTCCGGCCGTATCCACATGGGCGCTGTCCGGGATGCCGCTGGACTCCACGATGCTTGGATTCAGGACGGGAAAAAACACACAGACACAATGAATCGTCGATCCCCTGGAAAATATAGGAAAATATGGGAAGTGGGGGGGAAGACGAAAACCCAGAAAATATGAGAAAATATGGAGAATCATTTTATTTGTGTGTATTTATTTGTGTGTCCCAGGGCCCCTTCATGGATGCCGCGATCGGCGACCTGGGCGAGCCTGTCGATCTCGGCCAGATCCTGGGCCTGGGAGGGTCCCCAGACCCTCGTGCTTCCCTACTCTCGCCTACCCCGGAGGCAGAACACCCCCCCCATAGACCCGAGAAGTGGCGCTTGCTGGACGGCCCTGGGCGTTTACGAATCAGCCCTGCCCGGTTCGATTCCTTCCATGGGTGCGCTGCGACACGGCTTCGCTTGTCGGGATGATGTTTCGTATGGAGGGATGTTCTGCTCTCTGTGCTTGCGCGCACGTCCATCGGCGTCACCCCAACATGCTGATACTAAGTGTGCGTCGCCCCCCCCGCCCCCCCCAGGGGCGACGCGCGCACCGAGAAATCGTATTGTATATGCGTCGTGACGGGCGCTTTCTGGCCACACCGCTCGGGAAACGATATGCTACAGGATGGGTATACTGTATGTCGGAGGTTGATCGACCTCCTACCCTGACACGTCGATCAGTGAATCGGCCGTTTGCGATGCGCGAGAGGGCGTCATGGCCGTTATTTTTGCGGGTCCAGGTCCGTCGGTTTCTGTCCTAGGCCGTTTTCATTATACAGTCGGGGCCCTGAAGAAGGAACCCTTTTCGTTGGGGAGGGGCTCCGCGTTCCCTAAGTGTTTCGCAGCTTGCCTCAGGTGTTCCTTATGTTCTCGATCGGAAATCGAAGTTTAACTTATGGAAAAAAGGGGCCTCGTTCCTTATTTAGGGTTCCTTAGGTCAAGACCCCGACTGTAGGCCGTTTTCATTATAGGGTGGTATACTGCAGGGAGGTTTGTCCACCACCGAAGATGTTCGGGTCGGACGCGCGCCTCCAAGGAAGGCGCACAGTACTGTTGCGTCTCCGCGCGCCCCAGCCCATGCCCTCGCGGTCCGGACCCCGAGGCGCCACCCCACGGACTGACGCGGTGCCGTCGGAACTCTGCCGTTCGAGGCAAAACCCATTGTTCATATGAACATGATCATCATTATTCGTATCATTATTAGTAAAAGTATTATCGTTACGGTTATCATTATTATTGTTACGAATAAAAATTAGTCTCATTATGCTGCGTCTTATTTCTCTTATTAGCGTTCTAGGCCTCATAGACGGGGTCCGAGTAGATGGGATCGGAGGGTCGCGCCGCATCGCCGATGCATCGACGATGCGGCTCGATGTGGAGCCCGAGTTGCTTCACGTCGACGTCGCCGATGCATGGCCCACGTCGACGATGCATCGCCCGCGCATCGCCGATGCATCGCCGATGTATCGGCAACGCGGCGCGATCCTCCAACCCCATCTACTCCGACCCCATCCAGGAGGCCTCTAAGAGTCGGGGAAACGTAAGACTCAAATTCGTTGGAACTCTGGTATGCCGACGCTGCTTTGTGGGCCCTTCCTCAGTTTTGACGGTCCAGTTTTCGTGGGACGCCTGCAGCGAGAGCTCGCGTCCAGTTTCAGACTGGGTCTCGTCGTTTTCCTGACGGCCGCGTCGGGCCAACCCGAGTCCCCCGAACCCGATTTTTGCGTCGGAGGCGATCTTTCGCCCCCAATCCCTGAGCTCCCCCCGAAAAGTGTGGCCGCTTAGAGCAGGTGGGAAGCCCTGGGATACACCCCCCAAGGGGGGCTACTCGGACGCACCCCCCATCGAGGAGGGACGCCCCCCCCCCCCTCGTATATCCCAGGGCTGGGCCCCAACTTTCTGGTCCATTCGAAACCCGCGAAGCCCGGGTGGAAGGGTCGACGTAGCCCCTGTCACTGCGCCTCCCCGATAACAAGGAAGCATGGCAGCACGATCACCGCCACCGCCACCGTTCCCCGAGATCCGGGCGCTGCACTTTTTCTGACACGGTGTCTTTTCGCTCGGCTTCGGGCCCAACCGTTACAGACCGATCCAGCCTGAGACACTCCGCAGCAAGATTGGGTCTGGTGGTCGTTGTCTTATTCATTGTTTTGCCGATCGGCGCGGGCCCTCGCAACCCCCTCCCCCCCCCCATGGAGTGGACCTTGGCCGTGTCTTGGCGCCTGTTTCGAGCAGGTGGAGCCTCCCCCACAGGACGCAGAGGTTGCAGACAGTCGCATCCGGCAGAGCTCCGGAGCCAGACCCCCCCCCCCCTTCCTTCCCCCCCTTCCGCCCAATGTCGGAACGCCGAAGAAGAAGAAGACGTTGGCCAGGGCCTTGGTCGTGATTTTTTGCTAGGTTGGAAATTTTCCTCCTCCTCCTCCTCTCCTCCTCCTGCTCCTCCTCCTCCTCCTCTTCCTCTTCCTCTTTCCTCCTCCTCTTCCTCGAAACGCCAAGGAAGACGACGTTGGCCAGGGCCTCGGTCGTGATTTTTGTTGCTAGGTTGGAAATGTTTTCCTTTTACGCCGTCGGACCTCGGGGGCCACCCACACTGTAAAGCAGCTGGGACGTCGGAGTACGGCCCTCGTTGGGCTCAGGAGGGGGAGGAGGAGGAGGAGGAGGAGGAGGAGGAGGAGGAGGAGGAGGAGGAGGAGGAGGAGGAGGAAGAAAACGAATAAGTAGACGAATAACAAACATACGAAGAAGAATAAGAAGAGGAGGAGGAGGAGGAGAAGGAGGAGGAGGAGGAGGAGGAGGAGGAGTCTCTGGTTTTACTGCCGTGCCTGACTTGTGGCTCGTGGAGCCTAGTCGTGGCGAGGGCTCGTGGTGGCCAGGAAGGTTCCCCTTCCTTTTTTCATTATCGGCGCAGCAAGAGGAAGGGATCCAAGGGTGGATTTACGTTGCTTGAGCATCTCGTCCTTGGGACCTTCTCCCTCAGGACCCCATCGTCGTGGCCAGGAAGGCCCCTTCCTTCCCTCGATCCGGCGGAGCATGAAAGCTGAGCCACCGGGTCGCCTGCAGCACCGTGCCGCCACCTGCTCGGGTGTTGCCCGCAGCGACCCGGGTCCAAGGGTGCCCCGTGGAGTCCCGAGGAGGCCCCCGCGGCATCCAGAGCACCCCTATCACGAGGCCCAGAGGGTCTCAGGGGCTCTCCAAAGACTGCGTGAGGAGCCGGGGGCGCCTTCAGGCCATGGGGCACCTCTGGCAGCCCGCCGCGCTGCTGCTGCCCAGCCCGCGGCCCTCCGCTGCGCCGATATCGCGAGCTGCCCCCGCCGGGGAGGGAGCTGGCCGGCGCGGACAGGAGCGGCGGCAGGGCACGACGGGCCGGGCCGATGCCCGCCCGGTGCGGGGGCTCGCACGACCGAGGAAGCGGAAGACGCCCGCCACATCGTAGCGCGACGAGCTGGGGGCCGCATTGGAGTCGGCGGCGGGCGAGGGGGGAAGCGAGCCTTTTCCAGAAGGCGGCGGGACTTCTCAGTGGGCCCTCGCAAAGGGTTTCTGTGCCATCGGGGCAGGCTCAGGCAACTTCTAAGAAGGCCGGGGGGGGATCTTGTGAGCCTTCTGAGAAGGCCCGCCCCCTGTTGGCGACAGCACGCCACCGTACCCCTGTTGGCGACACTACGCCACCGCCAAACTTCAAGCGATAGCGCGATTCCCCAAATCCAGAGGAAGTCTTAAGTGGCGTGATTCCTGAGTCTCGGGGGCACGGCGCCGCAATAAGTTGTGAAGAAGTACCACGCGAGAGCACGATTCATGCATACAATCCGAGGAAGTCCCGCGCGAGAGCGCAAATTTAAAATGATTTGTGAGGAACCGTCAGGCGTGTGCCGTTGTTGTTGTAGCGCGGGGGCTCACCACGCATTCTGAGGACCAAGACTTTCCCTGACAAGACCAAGGTGCGCGCCCTGGGAGGATCATGAACAGGGAAGGAGGGATCCAACAACAACAACAACAACAATACTAATAATTCAAATGATGTTCGCTCTTATCTGCTCGTGTGCCGCTCAAAACGTATATCCGAACCCTCGATGCCCGCCAGTTTCGTCTTCGATCGTACATACAATTGGGAGTATAGTTTTTGTCCCCTGCCACGTGTAATTGGCGCAGACCCTAAGACAGGGTGAAAGAGGACGGATGGAAGGGGGAGGGAGAAGGATGGAGCGCCAGAGCGATTAGCAGGGAGGGGGCTAGGAGCAGAAACCACGTGGCAAAACCAGACGGGCTGATCGGGCGGGTCGACCCGAACGGGCGGGTCGGAAAGGCTGGCCCAGGCGGCGAGGTCGAGCAGGCGGTTTGCTGAAGCGTGAGCCCTGCGTGAATCGCAAGGAGGTCTCGAGCGATAGCGCGATTCCCGAATACATCCCGAGGAAAGGCAGAGCGAGAGCGAGATTCCTGTGCGTCAAGTCCCACGCGAGAGCGCGATTCCTGCGTACAGTGTGAAGCAGTCCCGCGCGAGAGCGCGATTGTGAAATCAAATGTGAGGAAGTGTCAGGCGGGAGCCGGCGAATTCTAATTTTCAAAGTAAATATGTTTGATCCCCCTCCCCAGCAACCGTTGTGTTTTTTGGTTAAAATGCTTATCCCTGGGCTCGAATGCTGCTTTCTCCCAGAGAAAGCTGGGTGTCACCAAACCGGGCCCCTGGCCCCCGGGTTACAAACACAGCGGCTCCCGCCTGATACGCCCTCACAATTTATTCCAAAATCGCGCTCTCACGCGGGATTTCCACACTGTGTACAGGAATTGCGCTCTCGCGTGAGATTTCTTCGCGATTTATTCAAACGCCGCGCCCTCGACGCTCAGAACTCACGCTCTCGCTTCGGCTTTCCTCAGGACTAATTTGGGAATCGCGCTATCGATCGAGACCTCCTCGCGATTCATGCAGGAATCACGCTTCAGCAGCCCGCCTGCTCGACCTGGCTGCCAGAGCCCATTTTCCCGACACGCTCTTGAGGGTCTACCCGCCCGATTAGCCCGTATGGTCCTGCCGCATGTTTTCTGTTCCTGGCCCCCCTCCTGCTATTATCCTTGGTGCTCGATTATCTTCCCTCCTCATTGTCCCTTCCTCCCGTCCGTCCTTTCTTCCCCTGCCTGGAGTGCTGCATGAACTACACGTTGCAGGTAAGAAAGATATACCCGCAAGTGGGTACGATCGAAAACGAAAATGGTGGGTATCGAGGGCTTGAGATAAACGTGTTGAATGGCACGCGAGCGGATAAGAGTGAAAAGTCTTAAAACAATGATTGTTGCTGCTGCTGTTGCTGTTGTAGTAGTTCGGGACCCAACACCGCATTATGAGGACGAACTATTCTTTCGAAAAAACCAGGTGCGAGCCCTGGGAGGAGCATGTCCATTGAAACACAAAATGCGCAACGGTCAGGAAGGATTCGCAAATCTGATTCTTTAGAGATGGGAATTCACTAAGCTAGCAGAATCTGGCCACGGAATCCCCACCCACGCGCCCAGGGATGGTGTAACATCGCTCGGCCCCCTCTGCTCTCCCTCTCCCCCTTCTCCTCCTCCTCACCTCCTTCTCGTCCGCCGCCTCTGCTTCCTTCGTTCTCGATCCTCCTCTTCTTCCTCCTCCCCTCCCATCCTCCCCTGCCCTGCCCTCGGTCTCCCCAACCCCCTCCTCCTCCTCCTCCTCCTCCTCCTCCTCCTCCTCCTCCTCCTCCTCCTGCCTTTCCCGGGCCCCCCCCTCCGCCCCCCTCCCCCTTTCCCCCTCTCTCCTCCGCGTCCTCCCCATCCCCGCCGCGAGGCCCCAGGAGGAGGAGCAGGAGGAGGAGGAGGAGGAGAAGGAGGAGGAGGAGGAGAGGAGGAGGAGGAGAAGAGGAGGAGAGAGGAGGGAGGGAGGGAGGGAGGGAGGGCGGCTGGGGAGGGAGGGAGGGAGGGAGGGAGGGGAGGAGGAGGAGGAGGAGGAGGAGGAGGGAGGAGGAGGAGGAGGAGGAGGAAGGAGGGTGAGGGGAGGAGGAGGAGGAGGAGGAGGGAGGGGGGGAGGGAGGGAGGAGGGGTGGAGGCAGGAGAGAGGTAGAGGAGGAGGAGAGGGAGGAGGAGGAGGGAGGAGGAGGACGAGTGACGGAGGGGAGGGGGATGGGAGAGGAGTTCCTGTCTTGGCTTTCCTTTCCGGGGGACTTCCTTTCTTATTCTGCGAGGGGAGGAGGAGGAAGAAGGAGGAGGAGGATGAGGCAGCCCCCGCCCACCCTCCCCCCTCCCCCGCCCCGTCCCCCCCGATGCCCCCCCCCCTCGGGCACACGGGGCTCGGCCGCGCCTCCCGCTGCCGCACGGAGGCGTCCGGGCGGTCGCCGTGCTCTCCCCGCAGAGCGGCGCGAGCCCGAGCCCCGGCTCGAGACGGAGGAGGTCTGCCTCGAGGTCGGGGCAAGGCCACCCTCCTCCTCCTCTTCCTCCTCCCTCCTCCTCCTCCTCCTCCTCGTCCCTTCCTCCTCCTCCTCCTCGTCCCTCCCCCTCCTCCTCCTCCTCCTCCTCCCCTACCCTCCTCGAGTCCTTCAAGGCTCCTCCTCCTCCTTTCCTCCTCCTCCTCCCTCCTCGTCCCTTCTCTCCTCCTCCTCCTCCTCCTCCTCCTCCTCCTCCTCCTCCTCCTCCTCCTCCTCCTCCTCCCCCTAGGGGGAGCAGGGACCCAGACCCCCTGGCGCTGTGGCAAAATCAGGACGGGAGGTTTTTCGCTATTCGCGGCCTTTGGGGCCCTCGCTGGGCGTGGGAGCGAAGGACACATGAACTTCCGTGAGGGGGCAGGGCCGCCGATCCCCTCTTTACCACCTTCTGATCACTCATCTGCAACAAAAAGCAGCTTCCGGATTTCAATCATATAGGTACGGAGGCTCCTCCTCCGCCGCGTCCCCCTTCCCACATAACTGCCGGCGCCCTCCGGGAGCCTCCGGGGGCCTCTTGGGGGCCAGAGAAAGGCCTCACACGCAGAAGAACATGGATCATCGATCCCTATTCCTGCGGGAGATTTCTGGGGGCCCGATCCCGGGGAACACTTTTCATTGTCATGTCTTCACGGCCCCAGAAGCCGAACACTGCACAAACGTCAATCCGCCATGTCTTTTCACGATGCGGGGGGCGTGAGCACAGTAGACACACAAGATAGGACATCTTACCACGAGAAATCTCGGGGCACATGTTTCGCCGACCTCTGAAGCTTTTAGGGCCCCATGGGGTGCCCCAAATCTTCTGCGGCCCCTGGGCCATCGGGGGACGCAGGACACTCCTGCGGGGCACCCGCTGGCAGGCTGATGTCGTGCTTGATGCGCCCCCTGCGTGATATCCCTCCTCCTCCCCAGACCCCCCACGTCGTGATGTTTGTCGCAACGTCTACCCCCAGAGGTCTGGACCCCTTCCTGGGCACCGGTCTCTCATCCCGAGTCGCGTCTTGCCGCTCCCGAGAAGGGCCCCCGGAGGCCGAAAGTAGCGAAAAGCCCTTAGTGCTTCACAGCGCGAGGAGGTCTGGGCTCGTCCCCCCCGCCCCCCCCCTCCCCTCGCCGACGTCGCCTTCTTGTTTCGGCACGGACGAAAAGGGTACGGAAAGAGTGGGTACGATGCCCAACAGTTCCTGTTCATTTTTAAAGAGGATTCGTTGTCCGCGCCGCCGCGGCCTGCGTCCACTTGAGACAGAAGGCCGCCTGCCCAACAGCGGCCGCTGTTGGTCTGGGACAACATTTGCTGTTGGGCAATGTATGTACCCATTCCGGGCGACCAACTTGTTCGTGCCATCCCAGGGTTCTCGCTCCTTGCCCAGGGAGGCGGCTCTGCACCCCGAGAGTCGCTCTCTGGCACATGGCCCGGCGGTCCCGGGAGGCCGAAAAAACGACGACGGGCCCGCCGCCACGAGTTTTCTCGTGGCCCTTTGATTTCGGGGCGATCGGAATGGGTACGGAAAGAATGGGTACGATGCCCAACAGCAGTTCCTGTTCATTTTGAACCAGCCTCGCTGTCCGCGCCGCCGCGGGCGTTGCTCACTGAGGACACAAAGCCGCCTGCCCAACAGCGGCCGCTGCTGGTTTTGGACAACATTTGTTGTTTGGCATTGTTCCAATTTTTTCCGTACCCATTTCGGGCGTCCAACTCGATGTGCGGGCCCTTCCCTCCCAGACCCCCTCGCGTTGTGAGAACAATGCGGCGGGAGGTTGTTCGCTATTCTCGGTTTCTGGGGGCCCTTCCCGGGCCTCGGGGCCGTCAAAAAACGACTCGAAATAAAAAATTGGCCCCCGGGAAGGGGTCCAGACTTTTCCTGGCATCGCTCGGACGTGTGTATTTTTTTTCCCGGCGAGGACACCTGAGGAACATCCTGGATCATCGAGCGAAAAAAACACGCACGAAACCGAACAATGCACGGAAAATGGACGTCCGAGCGACGGCAAGTTTTGTGGGTCGACGTCTTGAAACAATCATGAAGTCGGGTGTCTGGGTCGTCGCCCGGATGTGAGGGTCCTTCCCCCCCTCGATTCTAGGCCTCCTGGATGGTGTCCGAGTAGATGGGGTCGGAGGATCGCGCCGCATCGCCGACGCATCAGCCAGGCGGCTCGATGCGATGCCCGATCTCATCGCCGCCGGTGCATCGCCAATGCATCGGCGATGCATCGGCGATGCGGCGCGATCCTTCGCCCCAATCTACTCTTGCGTCGGGCTTGTCCCTCTGCAGGGGGAATATCCCAAAATGGTTAAACAAAACATCGTCTTGGGACTTTTTTTTTTGACCATTTGGGAGTATTGTTTGAATATTTGTTATTTTTCGTCGGAAATCCCCCTGTAGGGGGACACGCCCGACTCAGATCGACTCGGATCCCATCCAGGATGCCTCTGCATATCAACGGCGGGCGTGCGCGGCAGGAGGGCGGGGGGGAGGGCGGAGGCGGGGCAGGGCGAGGCGAGGCGCCGACCCGCGCCCCCAGAGGGCGGCCCTGCGAGGGCACGGCGCTCATGGGCTGGAGCCCCAGTGCGCTTTGGGATCCCTGTGTGATTCCTCCCTCGTCTGGCCCCTGAGCCGCCCGCCCCGTCCCTGTTTTCCTGCGGCCGCGCCCTCTACTCGCGCCTCCTCTCTCGGAGGTTGGCAGACCTGCCCTGACACGTCGATTCGCGAGTTGGCCGTTTTCGGTTCGCGAGAGTGCGTCGCGGCCGTCATTTTTGCGGGTCCAGGTCCGTCGGTTTCGGTCCTAGGCAGCTTTCATAACCTTGTGGTTTGCGACAAGGAGGTTTGTCCGCCGCCGGCTCTTGCATGGTTACGCAATTCGCTCTAACGGCATCCCCGCTGAAGCCTCGCATCGCCGGCGCAAGCACCTGCTGCATAGCCGCCAGGGCAGAAAGTGGGATCCATCGGCGCGTCAGCTCGCGGAGGAGGAGGGAGGTCATCGACGACGACAACGACGATGACGACGACGGGGGCGGTTCGGCAGCAAAGCATGGAAGCTTGGAGTGCCTTCTCACTTCTGTCTTCAGCGTCGACTAGCGTCGGCTAGCGTCTGGGAGCCGACGAAACATCAGTTCCGATTTGGCGTTGGCTGGCGTCGATTCGTTAGCGCCGATTCAGCGCCGATCGGCCTCGGCCCGCGTCGATCAGCGCCGACTCGCAAGAGCCGACAAGATGGTATGGGAGGGCCCCGTGAGTTGCCACCGACGGGCGTGGGGGGGGGGCGGCAGGGAGCGCGCGCGCGGGCGCTGCGCGGCGAGGCTCGCCGAAGTCGGCGCGGAGCTCCGGTTCCGAACCCTTCGGCGACGAGGCCGGCGACGAGGCCGGCGGCGCAGCGGGGGGGCAGTTGGTTTGCCTCTCGTGCTGCGCCCGGGGCTTCCTCGGCGCGGCGAGGCCTCCTCCCGGCGCGGACGCCGCAGGAGGCTTCGGGTCGAGCCCCAGCGCCCTCGTGGTCCTCCTCTTCTTCTTCTTCTTCTCTTTATTCGTACTCCTTAGTGTCCCTCTTCTTATGCATCTTCTTTATTATGTTGTGATTTTTTTGTTAGCATGTTATTATTGTTATTTCATCCGTTTTATTATTATTCTTTCTATTTTTACCCAGAATATTATTATCCATATGATTAGCAGCATTATTATTCTGATTGTTATAATTGACATTGTTAGCAGCATTCGTTTTATTATTATTATTATTATTATTCGTAGCAGTAGTAGTAGTAGTAGTAGTAGTAGTAAGTAGTAGTAGTAGTAGTAGTAGTAGTAGTAGTAGTAGTAGTAGTAGTAGTAGTAGTCGTAGTGTAGTAGTCGTAGTAGTCGTAGTCGTAGTCGTAGTCGTAGTCGTAGTCGTAGTCGTAGTCGTAGTCGTAGTAGTAGTAGTAGTAGTAGTAGTAGTAGTAGTAGTAGTAGTAGTAGTAGTAGTAGTAGTAGTAGTAGTAGTAGTAGTAGTAGTAGTAGTCGTAGTAGTCGTAGTAGTAGTAGTAGTAGTAGTAGTAGTAGTAGTAGTAGTAGTAGTAGTAGTAGTAGTAGTAGTAGTAGTAGTAGTAGTAGTAGTAGTAGTAGTAGTAGTAGTAGTAGTAGTAGTAGTAGTAGTAGTAGTAGTAGTAGTAGTAGTAGTAGTACTACTAGTAGTCGTCGCATTTAAGTATATTATTAGTATTACTACTACTCTTTTTAACATTTGTTATTATGAGGCTTATTATTTACCATTATTATGTTTGCTCGTCCTCTTCCTTCTCCTTCTCCTCCTCCTCCTCCTCCGCCCTCTCCTCCTCTTCCCTCCTTCCCTCCCTCCTTCCCTCGTTCCCCCCTTTTTCGTTCCGTCCCACCTTCCCTCCCTCTCCCCTCCTCTCTCCCTCCCTATTCTGCTCCTTCCTCCCGTCCTCATGGGGTGGCTCCCTCTCCCCCTTCCTGTCACCATCCCGCACCCGAGGCTCCTTCTGCCTGGTTTCCTCCACTCCGCGGGGAATCTCTGAGTTGCCTCTCTTACTTCTCTCTGGCCGGGGCTTGGGGCGGAGATGATCGCTCGATGTGGTGCCTCCAGATGCCTATGCAGATTTTTTAGGGGCAGCGCCAAACCCGTGTGGTAGCGTTTCGGGCCCAGTTTCTGCTCGTGTCGCGCGCCTGGGAGGGTGGCCCAGCGTTTCCCCAAGAATTCGCACGGGCCTCCACATGAGGATTGCCTTCGCCTCCTTCCCCTCCTTCGCTCCAGCGCTTGCGGACACTCTTCCGGAGCTGTCGCAGCAAGGTCGTTTCCGAACCGTCTCCGGGCCGCGGCTCCTTGCTAAAAGGAAGCTCGATGGCAGCGCGCCAATCCAATCCAATCCTCCCTCCTTCTTCCTTCCTCCTCCGCGCCACACACATTCTTCGGGGCACACCGTCAGGCGGCGACCAGGGGCAGCTAAACCGGCTGGCCCTTTTTGGAACCAGCCACGTGGCACTGTGCCCGTGGCAGCGGCGCCAGCCACGTTCCGTGACCTGGAGATGGGTACCAGGCGCAGGGGTTTGCGCATTTGGTTGAGAAACGGGGCCACGTGGCTCGTAAGTCCCATGGTGGCCTCGTGCCCGCCCCGCCTGGGGAACAAACCCAGTTGCGCATGCCAGCTGAGTGGGCAGGGGCTGATAATCGGGAAGTGCTTCGCAATGACGAGGTGAACCGACCGCGCCCATACGCACCACGCGCTCTTGGCTGGAGGCAATTCGCTGGGCCAGAGGTCACTGCCTATCCCATGTTCGTCGGTGCGCGCGTTTTCGAGCCCGCTCCTTGCCGCAAGGGGGAGGCCAGGGGTTCCTGTTACCTGGTTGCCTGCCAATGCGGCCCGCCTGCGTGCGGTGTGCACCGCGCACTTCCTGGATCAATGATTCTATGACTCCTCGTTATCCTTCTCCTTCTCCTTCTCCTCCTGCTCCTCCACCGCTCGCTTCCGTTATGGATGATTCCTCCCTGTTTCACCCCGAGGCTGGTCGAAAGGGCGGGCCGGGCATTTCGCTTTGTACTTCCTTACCACGTACGATTCTGCAGCTTTTAAAGTTGGCAGCAATTTCGCGGATATGTGGCGGGCGGTTTTCAAAATATGGCTCTCGCTTTTGCGCCACGCGCATTCGTTTCACAAGGTTGCAGGGCTTCGCGGATTGAGGGCGGGCCGTTTTCAAAATGCGGTTATAGCTTTAGCGCCACGCGCACTCCTCTACCACATTGCACGAGTTTCATGGATTGGGGGTGGCTGGTTTTCACTGCGCGCTTTTCGCATTGGCGCCGTGCACATTCGCTTCAAACAATTTAAACGTCACGGGTTAACGGCGGGTCGTTGTCAAGCTGTGCTTCCCGCCTCAGCACTGCGCGCGTTGCTTCAACGACTTGCAATAGTTTTGCGGATTGACGGCGGCTCCTTTTCGAATTGTGGCTCTCGCCTTAGCTCCGCGTCGTTTCAAACGCGTGAAACCGTTTCATGGATTCCCACTGTTATTGTATGAGAAGTTGCACTTGGATCGATTTAGGATTGTCGGGGCGCAGCAACTACGTTGATTCGCGGTGTTGAAATCACTGGAATGGTGTTCATGCGTTATTCCAGATCGCCAAGACGCAACATTCCGTTTGATTCACCGTTTTGAAATCCCGAAAGCGGCGTTTTTGCACGCTTATGATCTTCAACCGTTTGTCTCCCAGCGGTGTGCGTCCCACAGTGAAAGTTGGTCTTTGTAGGGGCCTATGGGAGGGGAGGTCGGAGGGAAGGTTACTTCCAGCATCGTTGATGAGTCTTGGGTTTGCACTGGTCACCTCTCTTCCTCCTCCTCCTCCTGCTCCTCCTCCTCCTCTGCCTCCTCCCCCTCCTCCTGCTCCTCCTCCTCTCTCCCCAGGCGCTCCAGAACGCTCTGAGAAGGCCGCGGCGCCCGAGACATCCTCCAGGGCCGCCGGATCTCAGCGATTTTCGATTCATTCTCGCCCGACGTTATCTTCGTCCTAGCTTCGTCTTGCACAATTCCCCGGGTTCGCAGATTGCACTGCGTCGCTGATGCATCGACGGTGCGGGGCGATTTCTGGGCACCGATCTTCTCCGCCCCGAGAGTGCCGATGCACCTGCGATGCCGTGCGAGGTGCGGACCTGGACAGCCCCCGTATGGGAGTCCTCCGCTGTGATCAGCGACGGTCTGGGGGAGATTGGTTGGAGGATGCCCTTTCTCCTCCTCCCTCCTCCTTCCTCCTCCTCCTCCTCCTCGACCTCCTCCTCCTCTGCATCCTCCTCGTCCTCATCATCTGGCCTCCCTCTTCCCCTCTCACCCCTCCCCTGGCGTGCGGGGCGTGCGCCATGGTGCACGTCTTTCACGCGCAGCGCGTCTGGAGCCCTCCAGATCTTACAAGATGCAATCTGGACGAGTCCCCAGGTTTGCCAGGTGTGCAATGAGTTGGTGACCTTGAGTTTCTTCCTATTCCTCTGTCTTTGGGCCTTCGGAGGGACCCGTCGTCGTCATGTCTGGATCGGCCTCGAAGTCCTGGTCAGGGCGCGCTCCAGGAGAGGTCCCAGCGGAGAGGGTGGAGATGCTCGGGGAGGTTATTGGATGGGTTCGGATGTGTTTTGTGGTGGCTAGCGGATGTTCTCGGTGGTCTTCTGATGGTCTTCACATGTTCCAGAGTCCCCCCCTCTGTGTGCATAGAGACAGGAATAGTTGGAAAGGAGAGAGAGAGAGAGAGAACAAGCAAACAAAAAGGAGAGAGAGAGAGAGAAGGAGAGAAGGAGAGAAAGGGAGACAGAGGGAGAGGATGAGAGAGAGAAGGAGAGAGACACACTTATCTATATGAAAAACATACACATACATATATACGCATATATGTATACATCATATGTATAGGCGTGTGTGTGTATAAGTGCATGTCCAAATATACAGACGTATCTATATACATATATACATATCAGACTGAGGGGGCCGAACGGTCATTCATTGTCCCTGGGTGCGTGGCTCTAGTGGGGATCCGTGGTGAGGATTCTGCTTGTTGCGTCGTTGTTGTTGCTGTTGGTGGTGTTGTTGTTGGTGTTGTTGTTGCTGTTGTTGTTGTTGAACATTATTAATTCTAAAGAATAATTATTGTTGGGACCCCTGGTGCGCGCCCCCCCCGCCGCGCCTAGGCCGCAGCCACATTTTCATCATTTTCGTGAGGAAGTCTCAGGCAAAACGGGGTATACCAGATCCGGTTGTGTTGTTACGATCGGTTTTCCCTTGCAAAAAATAAGGCAAAGTGGACATTTCTTGTTCTAACATGACCAAACTTCAAGAATCCCTTGCAAAAAATGACACGAAGTGCACATTCGCGCGCGCAAGACGAAATCCTTCCAAAACCTTAGTCTTCGTAGCGATTTTCACATAAAAACATGAAAAACCCAATGGTTTTTCAAAAAAAGGGTTTCAAAAATTCACCCCGCGCGCTCTTGCGGATTTCTTAGGAAACCCAATACTTTTTCAACATTTCTGTCAAACGGGCTCTTGCGAGCAACTTTTTCACGTGCTTCGAACTTCTGCAACAAAGGTTGCGCGCCTGCCAGGGCCACCATCCCTGTCAAATAATACCATGTGGGACACATTCGTTTTTTTTTTCGCGCGCGCACGCCGAAATCTTCAAAAATCCTTGGGCTTCTTATGAATTTTAGCACCGCGCAACATAAAATCATACGAATCGCACCGTAGGTTCTCGAAAAACATCTGTACGAATTTTCAAAATTTCTACCCGCGCGCGCTGTCCGAATCCTAAAAAACCAATGGTTTTTCAACATTTATGTTATAGAGCTCGCGCGAGCTGTTTTCGCAAGCTCTTTCAACGGCGTTCGCGCGCCTGCCAGGGGCCACAATCCCTTGCAAAAAATATCATGCGGGACACATGCGCGCGTCGTCGCGTCGTCGTTGTCGGCATGGTACCACAACAAGTCAGTGTGTCACCACGTCATCGAACAAAATCACTGATCACTGTCACATCCGTAGCCATCTCGGATCAAGGTATCGCCTGTGTTCTTGGATGGGTCATGGCTTTGTCGGCGAAAGCCCTTGACGAGCAGTATGGCCCAGAGCTGTCGCGGCCTCCCTTGGCCGACTGCGGCAGCCCGTTTTATTTGCATCAGGCGCTCGTTGCAAAGGGTATCCAGGTTAGTCACCAGGCGTGCAAGGTTTGGTGGGTCAAATATCGGGTTGTGCCTGGCAAGGTCAGTATTTCTAGCGCCAAGGAGGTGGAGGAGCAGCACGGCTCTGCCATCCGCCATCTGGGCATCGAGTATAATACAGCTTTCAAATTATGTGGGGCGCTCCGACGGTTGGATCCACCACTGTATGTGTCAAATCCGGTCGCAACGGCGTGGCTACTGCAGTATTCTTCCAAAGAGACGCTTGTCATAGTGCAGAGCGCTGGCCATTTGGAGACCTGGTATGGAGAATGTATTCGCACAGACATGCCCGAGGGGACTACTGACGGGGCCGTCTTGAAGCAGTGGCTCCTGGGACATTTATCTGTATCTGCTGACGCCAGGGTATGCCAGAAGTGGCTCAGCACTGAGTGGGGCGCCAAGGGAGCATTCAATACTGCCCAAGCTGTGGAGGAATGTATAGGCCAGCGTCTTCGACTCAATCAGTATCGGGAGAGCTTCGCCGACGAGGCCGCCGCGGAGGTCCTCTCGCAGCTTCTCTCGGAGAGCGATCCTCCCGGCGCTGTCGGCGGTGTGGTTTTGAGGCAATGGTACGTGAAGTATCACCCTGACTCTGGACCTTTGCAGTATGACACGGCTGAAAAGCTCGACGCGGCACTTGGTGACCGCATGCGCGCGGTATATCCAGGGCTGAAGTACCACACGTTGCATGCCGTGTTGCGTATGCGACGGAAAGCTGTCTTGGTGTCCCGAGGAGTGTTGAGACAGTGGTGCGATGTGTATGCGTCGGTGAGCTCCTCAGTGCAGGCGGCGGCTTCATCCGCCCAGGCCGTCACCAAGCGTGTATTGAAGCGTTCGGCGGCACAGGTCGCAGGCGGGGTATTGAAACGGCCAGCCGCCACCGGATCTGTCCGCGTGGGCAAACGGCCTGCCGCGGTCGACTGGGAGGAGCCCGTATCGAAGCAGCAGGCCACGGCAGCTTCTTCCTCCACAGATGTGGTTTGTATAAAGCTGCTGACGGGGGATGCTGTAGAGGCGGCATGCGGACGAAGTGTAGTAGCCAAGGTCGTCCGCAGGCCACGAAGTGAAGTGTCCGAACGTCATAGGGCGGGAAGCTGGGTGTGGGTGGTGGCGAAGAGTCGTTTGGAAACTTGGTAGAGCTTGAACCGGCCCCCCCACAAAGTGGGGGTATTGCCCGCCTCCTATGAAAACCCTGGCACTGGTGAGAACGGAGTGTCCCCAGTCTTAAATGATTGTTCTTGTTGTTGTTGTTGTTGTTGTTGTTGATGTTGATGTTGATTGTTGTCGTCGTCGCCCCTGCGACCCACCCCGCGACCCACCCGCGACCCACCCCGCGACCCACCCCGCGACCCACCCCGCGACCCACCCCGCGACCCAGCCCGCGACCCACCCGCGACCCACCCGCGACCCACCCTGTGACCCGCCCGCGACCCACCCCGCGACCCACCCCGCGACCCGCCCCGCGACCCACCCCGCGACCCAGCCCGCGACCCACCCCGCGACCCACCCCGCGACCCACCCCGTGACCCACCCGCGACCCACCCGCGACCCACCCGCGACCCAGCGACCCAGCCGCGACCCACCCGCGACCCATGCGCGACCCACCCGCGACCCACCCGCGACCCACCCTGTGACCCAACCGCGACCCACCCGCGACCCACCGGCGACCCACCCCGCGATTCACCTTCATTGCTTTAACAAAAAAATCGGCGCCTGCGGCTGGCTCAATGCATAATTTGTAAAAGTCAGGCGCCTGCGGCGGGCTTTTTTTCAGAGCCTCGCAGACTGACGACGTCCTCGCCGCCCCCTCACTCTCATCGGCAACTGCGGGGTGCTACGTATCTGTGTGTAGCTTCCCGTAGTTGTGGATAGGAGTGAGGGGTCGGGCGTGGGTGGGGTCGCGGGTGGGGCGCGGTTGGGTCGCGGGTGGGTCGCAGGTGGGTCGCCCCTGGGTCGCGGGTGGGTCGCGGTTGGGTCGCGGGTGGGCCGCAGGTGGGCCGCGGGCGGGTCGCGCGGTTTGGGTCGTGGGTGGGTCGCGGGCGAGTCACGGTTTGGGTCGCGGGTGTGTGGCGGGGTGCGTCGCGGGTGGGTGGCGGGGTGCGTCGCAGGTGGGTCGCGGGCCGGGTCGCGGTCGGGACGACGACAACAAACAACAAACAACGAATAATAAACAACAAAGAGGTGGAGGGAAGGAGGACCATCATGAGGATGAAAGGAATTGTTGGAGGCAGAGTAAGGAGATAAGGAGGTAGGAGGAGAGCGAGGAGGCATGAGGAGGAGAGGGAAGAGAAGGAGAAGGAGCAGGACGAGCGCAACCCCAGGATGCGCCGACGACGCTGCAACACAGCCTCCCGTCCAAAGTCCCCTCACCACTCAGTCTGGAATGTTCGCCTCGCAGTTCTGGCCCACCACGCCCATGCGGGACACGCTATTCTCGTCCCAGTCCCCAGGCATCCGCGTTCCGAGCTTTTCCCGGCCATCGCCCCACGAGGCAAAGCGATGCGCTCTCGGCAGGAAAGGCGTAGAGCATGTCTCGGGGACCGCCGCCGCGGCACGCTGCGCAAAAAAGTTCATGGCCCCACGCGCTTCCGGTCGGGCATCCCTCTTCACTGCGGACAGCGCCCGCTCGAAAGACGAGCGTCTCATGGGCTTGCCGTTCGGACGAGAGTCCTGGCGTGAATGCCTTGCGTTCGCCGCGAAGTCCAAGGAAGTGTCCAGCGAACGACTTCGGTTTCAGCAGAACACAAGCCGTTCTCAATCTGCGCAGCAGCTGTGCGAGTTTACATCCGTGGTCACCATCCGGGAGGACATGTCATATGACAGGCCCGCTTTCAAAAGGAGCTTTCCTCCACCCACATTACTTTTGCACAAGTTTGCAATCACGGTCTCGAGGAACTGTCATGCGGGAGCCCCATTCTAAAAAGGATCCGCCTTCCGTCCGTTGATTTCTGTTGCGAGATTCTGCGCTTCTGGTCATGGCTTACAGGGCAGACTCAAGCGAACGGCCAAACTAGAACAGGAGCTATCCATCCATCGTGTCAGCGCTGGAAGCATGTAAGACGCATGCGCGCGGCGCTCTGGCGAGAGCCACATTTGGAAAAACGTCCCCCCTCCCTCCTTTCAGCCGCTGGGTCCCTGGGTGCTTTTTAGGCGAGTGATCGCGGCACGAATGCGAACACCATTCGCCTTCCATCTCTTGAGCTGTCGGGGATGTCGAGTTTCTTGGTCGTAAGCGGGGGGGGGGGAAGTGTCCGACGACACGCCCCGCCCTCCCTGAGGACACGCCCGGTGCTGAGGCGACGAGGACTTACCTGCAAGGAATGAGGTGCGGAGGGAGAGGAGCAGCGACAGGTGCAGTTTTCCCCCCTCCCCCTCGTCGTTTTTTTTTCTCGTCCCCCCTCCGCGTGGCGCTGCTCGGTCACGCCTGCGCCCAGCGCTGCGGGGTCCCCTCCCCCGAACTTTCGATGGGGCGTAGCTGCACGGAGATGCGGTGGTCGCCTCTTTTTTTTGGGGGGGGGGCGCGCCGAGTTGGGCCAGATCTGGGGGCCCCGTGGGGGCCCAAGACTTCCGTGTTACCCGCTCGCGCCCTTCCGAACAACGCCGACGGCGAGAATGCATGCCCTGGCGCATATGCATTCTCACCGCCGACATTCCGTTTTTGCGGCCTCCGTGAGCGTCTCTTCCCACGCGCGTGCAAAAGGGGGCCTGCGCGCGCACGAGTCCAGCTCAGGGCATGTGCGGCTCCGCGATGGCAGAACGCTGGCCTGGGCTTCTGCATTTAGGCCCTTGCTGGTCGCAGCCTTGCAGGCCTACGGGATCTCCGAATAGGGGACCGCATGCGAACCCCACCCTCCCCCTCGGAAATCGTGAGGGATAGGGGTAGGGTTCGCATGTGGCCCCCTACCGAAGATGCACCGCCTTGTCCGCCCAGAGAGAGCCAGGCATCGACTCCCAGTCCGCCTCCTCCTCCTCCTCCTCCTCCTCCTCCTCCCTCCTCCTCCTCCTCCTCCCTCCTCCTCCCCCTCCTCCTCCTCCTCCTCCTCCTCCTCCTCCTCCTCCTCCGCGTTCTCTCAACTCCTTCCCTCTCTGCGTTCCCATCCTCCTGCCATCGAAGTGTGATGCCCTCATAGGGAGCGTGCTCTGGCTACGGTTGATCCTCCTCCTCCTGCTCCGCCTCTCCACTTCGAACTCCTCACCCCCGCGCTCCGACTCGTATGCATCCTTATCTCCACTTCTCCGCCGCTGTCGCCTGCGGTTCCTCTTTCGAGGAGCAGGTTGCCTGCACGCTACCTGTAGGCTCTCAGTCTAGTCAGAAGGTTTCGGAGATCCGCTTCTGGGAGCACCTCGCTCACTCACTCACTCTCTCACTACCTCCTCCTCCTCCTCCTCCTCCTCCAAGGCCACCGCTGCGTTGTGTCGGATTGCAGTGGTTGGTCTTTTGTGCGGCTGATTCACCTCAGGTGAATGCTTCGCAAAGCTTTCAGTGACATGTACGCTTCTCACTGAGCCTCACACGAGTGAGAACTGGAGCTGGCTTGGCAAAGACCTCCACCCCAAGAAGAGGGGTGGGGCCTCAGTCGAGCCCTTCTCATTTTGCCCATCTAGGTCGGGTCATTGGCCGTCGATGTCAAACGAAGTTCTTCCTCTCCCCAGCGGCAGCAATACACCGCTTCCCAGCACGACGGCCCCTGCTTCACGGAGCCCCTGCAAGACGACGAGGACCCCCTCGGCCTGCCGCAGTCGCCCGTGGAGGCTGTCCGCTCCTCCTGCTGTCGTCGTCGCAGCCCCCCCCCGCGAGAACGAGGGGAAGGGGGGGAGGAGGAGGAGGAGGAGGAGGAGGAGGAGGAGGAGGAGGAGGAGGAGAGGAGGAGGAGGAGGAGGAGGAGGAGGAGGAGAGGAGGAGGAGGAGGAGGAGGAGGAGGGGTAGGAGGAGGAGGAGGAGGAGGAGGAGGAGGAGACGGAGGGAGGAGAGAGGAGGAGGAGGAGGAGGAGGAGGAGGGAGGAGAGGAGAGGAGGAGGAGGAGAGAGGAGGAGGAGGAGGAGGAGGAGGAGGAGGAGGAGGAGAAGAGGAGGAGGAGGGGATAGGGAGGAGGGGAGGAGGAGAGGAGGAGGAGGGAGGAAGGAGGAGGAGGAGGAGGGGAGGAGGAGGAGGAGGAGGAGGAAGAGGAGGAGGAGGAGGAGGGGGGGGCAAAGAAGGAGAAGCGAGCGAGAGCGAGCGTGCACAACCGGGCTCGGTCACAGCGGGAGGCGGCGGCGGCGGCGGCGGCGGTGCTGCACGGCTCGAGAGAGGCTCGGCGGCGTTGCTCGCCGGGACGTGCGGTGAGCTCCCGCGGCAGGTCGTGCAGCTCCCCGCTCTCTATCCGACTGCGACGTCTGATGGCCTTGTACCCCAGGGTGATCCCAGAGGAGGAGGGGGGGCAAGGAGAAGGACTTTGTCTGAAGCGCGGCCACCGCCTCCTGGCGGCGTCGAAGAGCCCCACCTCCCGAGCGACAGCTCGGGGAAGGCCGGAAGCCCGCCGAGGAGGAGGAACCACCCCACCCCCGATATTCGGCGTTTACTAAACGGCCCTGGGCGTTTACTGAACAGCCCTTCCCTGCTCCAATCCTTTCTTGGGTACGTTTACTGAATGGCTTCGCTTGCCAGGATGCTCATTGTAAGGGTGGAGGGAGGAGGAGGAGGAGGAGGAGGAGGAGGAGGAGGAGGAGGAGGAGGAGGAAGGAAGAGGAGTAAGGAGGAGGAGGAGGAGGAGGAGGAGGAGGAGGAGGAGGATCGGGCTGGGCTAGGACGAGGATAATCCATTCCAGAGCGTTCTGGAACGCTCTCAGAGCGTTCGGGATCGCTCTGAGAAGTCCGCGGCGCCCGAGACACCTCCAGAACCACTGGGTATCACAGATTCTCGATCTATCCTCGCCCGATTTTATCCTCGCCCCAGCTTCGTCTTCGGAAGGAGGAGGAAACAGGAGCAGGGAGGAAGAGGAGGAGGAGGACGCAGGAGGATGTTGATGAGGTCCAGAGTGGGCCTAGCACGCGCGCCACACGCTGCAGTGCGCCTTCTTCGTGCTAGCCCATCCCGTCCCAGAAGGCCGCCGCTACTCGGGACGTGGAGGTGTGTTTTTTTCCTTCCTGGCCCTCGCGAGCCTCCGCTCTGCACAGGCGAGGCGCCCGTGGCAGGGCTCGCTTCGATTCCTCCGATTCGATGCGGCTCGACTTCGATTGCTTCCGATTCCGATTAGATTCGACTTGGGATTCCGATTTGGGCTCCGACCTCTCATTGGAAGCAAACTAGCCGCTGTCGATTTCCGCGGATCCGACTGTTTCCGACTCGGCTGCCGACATCTGCCGATCGGATTCATTTCGATTGCCGATCCGACTTATCGATTCGATTCTGGGCTCGCTTGCAGTGGGCGCGAGTGGCGAGAATCGAGGAAGAAACATATACTTCCGGACCGAAGGTATGTTGGATGTTCTTGTGCGTCCTGGGGAAGGTCTCCTTGTAGGTTCTGGATGTTTTGGCTTGCGGAAGGTTTCATGTTCTTGGAGGATGCTCTTCTGTCCTAGGTCCGGCCGTATTTTTCGTGGACGTTCTTCACGGTCGGCTTGCGAGAGTGAGACCTTCAACAATGTAGCGTACTCCGCAGTGCACGCGCGGCTCCCGCTCGTGCGCGCCGCGCCCGAAGTAGCCAGGCAGCTGAGCCGCTTCGCGACTGCGCCACCGAGCTCGTCATCGTGCTGTTGTGTCCGTTCCCCGTCCGCGCTTCCAATAGTTTCTTTGAGCACTTACGGGCTCTTACGTCTTTTCTAAGGAGCTGGGCCTGCTTGCCGGTCTGACGGCTATGTTGTCGCCGTCGCCGCCCGTCGACGCCTCGTCGCCGCACGTCGTCTGGCTCTGGGTGTCAGTCTGGCGGCTCTGTGCTTGCCGTCGCCGCCTCGTCGTCGCCCCATCGCCGCCTAGTTTGCACAACTTCGATTGCACCGCATATTTTGCACCGCCTAAATTTCACAAAATAGCTTGCACCACGTCGATTGCATCGCATAGCTTGCACCGCACATACTGCACCACACATATTGCACTTCATATGTTGCACAACATATATTGCCCGACATACGTTGCACTAGCTTTATTGTGCCACGTAGATTGCACAACATATATTGCACACCGCAGGTTGCAGAACATGTGCTGCACCACGTAGATTGCACCACACATGTTGCCGCAGCTGGATTGTATAGCATATGCACAAGGTTTGGGTTCTCTGCCTCTTTGTATATATGCATCTATACACATGTCGGTATGCCGAAAACGCCAGCCCCGCCCACCCACCCCCTTCGAAAATCCCCCTTCTCCGGAACCTTGACCGCTGCCCCTTACAAAGACAGGGGGGCGGGGGTCCGAACCCCCCGCCCCTTCCGACAGTCCGCGGGGGGGGGGTCCGTACCCAACACCGGTCTCGTCGTCGTCGTCGTCGTCGTCGCCGTTCTCGTCGTCGTCATTGTCGTCGTTTGTGTGTGTGTGTCGTATGTGTGTGTGCGTGTGTGTCTGTCTGTCTGTCTGTCTGTCTGTCTGTCTGTCTGTCTGTCTGTCTGTCTGTCTGTCTGTCTGTCTGTCTGTCTGTCTGTCTGTCTGTCTGTCTGTCTGTCTGTCTGTCTGTCTGTCTGTGAGTGTGTTCGCTTCCAGCAGGCGCGCCTGCCGCCCTGGCTCCCCGGCGAGCTGGGCCAGCCGCTGCTCGCGGACGCTCCCGCTGGGCCTGCCGCCGGCGGCGCCGCCGCGCCCGCGCGCCCAGAGGCGCTCGGCGGGATCCCCTGTCGGCGGCCTTGGCGGTGGCGGCGCCCCGACGAAGGCTGCTGCGATTCCGATGCTTGTTCACATATTTGTTGTTCGTTCGTGTGTGCGTGTGTGTGTGTGTGCGTGTTTGCGTGTGTGTGTGTGTGTGTGTGTGTGTGTGTGTCTGTGTCTGTGTGTGCGTGTTTGCGTGTGCGTGTTTGCATGTGTGCGAGTGTGCTTGTGTGTGTGTGCGTGTGTGTGTGTGTGCGTGTGTGTGTATATGTGTGTATGTGTGTGTGTGCGTGTGTGTGTGTGTGTTTGTGTGTGAGGGTGTGTGTGTGTGTGTGTGTGAGGGTGTGTGTGTGTGAGTGTGTGTGTGTCTGGGGGGGGGCTCGCCTCCTGTGGCGTCCTCGTTGCCGCGGCTGTTTGGCCTCGCAGTGCTGACCAGCACGCAGCCCTTGACAGGTCCTGGGGATCATTTCTTTCAGGGGAGACGAGCACAACGTCGACGTCAAAGGCGACGACGACGCGACGGCGACGGCGTCGGCGACAGCGTCGACGGCGACGAGGCCGACGGCGACGACGGGAAGCATCCAGGGAGTGGTTGTGAGCGGGCTTTTGGTCGGACGGCGACGACGACGACGATGGCGGCGGCGGCGACGGTGGCATTGACGATGACGACGACGACGACGACGACGACGACGACGACGACGACGACGACGACGACGACGACGACGACGACGACGACGACGACGACGTCGACCACGACGACGACGGCGGTGGCGGCGGCGGCGGCGGCCTCGACGACGACGGCGGCGGCCGCGGCGAGGGCGACGGCGCTGACTGCAGCCAATGTGCTGCCACAGGGGGACCTTGGATACGCAAGGAGAGGCGCCCCCTCTGGAGCCCCATGGCTGCGCCCAGGCGCACGAGGAGCGCCAGGGGAAGGCCTGGGGAAGGGCCGTGGCAACAGTGAGCCCCCTCCTCCTTCTCCTCCTCCTCCTCCTCCTCCTCCTCCTCCTCCTCGAGACCAGAGGCACCGAGACACCGGCGACGACGGCGGCGGCGAGGCCGGCGGCGGCGAGGGCGGCTGCGAGGACGACGACGTCGCCGTGGGGTCCGCGACACCTCGGCAGGCCCGAGCTGGTCTTGATGGCTCGGGCCTCCTGGCCTCGCTTGGGAGCCGAGATGCTCCTCCTCCTCCTCCTCCTCCTCCTCCTCTTCTCTCTCTCCTCTCTCTCTCTCTCCTCCTCTCCTCTCTCCTCTCCTCCTCCTCCTCCTCCTCCTCCTCCTCCTCCCCTCCTCCTCCTCCTCCTCCTCCTCCTCTTCCTCCTCCCTCCTCCCTCCTCCTCCTCCTCCTCCTCCTCCTCCGCCTCCTCCTCCTCCTCCTCCTTCTCCTCCTCCTCGCTCGTCCTCCTCCGTGTCGGGGCTGTGGTTGCCACGGCTCGGAGAACGGGCTGGGTTGGTGCCCAGGAGGGGTCCAGGATCGGGTGTCTGAGAGCGGAGTCGTTTCTGCAGTTTCACGCCTTGATAGTTTTGGGTTCACGCGCTGGTCTCACGTCTAGCTTTTGACCTTGACGTTCTTCCCGACACCTCGCGAGTCCTGAGCAGCCCATCCAGAACTGGTGCCCAGGCGAGTTGCCCTGATCAGGGAAGCGTAGGAGCATGCAGTAGAACACAGGAAGGGGGTAACACGTCCGTCCTCTTTCGAAGGAGGATGAGGGAGGATGAGGGAGCGGAGGAGGAGCAGGAGGAGGCGAAGGAGGGCGACCACAAGCAAGAGGAAAGTGGTGGAACACGTTCCCACTCAGCTTGAGGGGAACCGTGGGAGGGAGAAGGGAGTAGGAGGAGAAGGATGAGGAGGAGGAGGAGGACGGGGAACAGGGAGAGGAAGGAGAAGACGAGGAGGTGGCAGGATGAGTAGGATGAGCATGGGGGACGAAGAAGACAACGACGACATGAGTCTACCAAAAAGGCCTTCGCGGATTTCCCCCCACATCCTAAGTGGGGTTCTTATTTTCGCTGGACACCCCGCGCAGTCTTTCTCCTAGTTACCCCCTCTCCTCCTCACACACTCACACACCATCATCATCATCATCATCATCATCATCATCATCATCATCATCATCATCATCATCATCATCATCATCATCATCATCGTCATCATCCTCATCACAATCACAACAATCGATATCACACTCTTCATCATCATCATCATCATCATCATCATCATCATCATCATCAGCATCATCATCATCATCATCATCATCATCATTATCATTATCATCTTCATCATCGTCATCATCATTATCATCATCATCATCAGTACCACCATCAGCATCATCAGCCCACACTCTCTCATACTCATCAGCGCACTCACGCACACGCTCCGTTCTACAGCATCATTCTTTACCATCTTCATCAACCAATCCCCATTCACCATCACTCACCATCACCATCGCTATCATCACACATACTTAACTATCACCATCCCATCGTGATCATCTACCAAGAGGGAGCCGCGTGTGCGAGTGAGTTGCGAGGACGTCTCAGGCGGGAGCCCCTTCCTTATGGGGCCCGCACTTCATGTTGGTAATCCGAGCTGGTCATCGGGAGGGATCTTGTAGCTTTCGTCACAATTGGGCTCGTCAGGCCTGAATCCAAAGGAAGTCTCGGGCGGGAGCCTCGTCTGTGAGTGTATTGCGAGGCAGTCTCGGGCGGGAGCCTCCTCCCTATGTGGTCCGCACTTCGTATTGGTATTCCGAGCGGGTCACCGGGATCTTGTAACCGTTGTCATTTTTGGGCTCCTCAGGCCTGCATCCTGAGGAAGTCTCAGGCGGGAGCCTCGTCTGTGAGTGAGCTGCGAGGCAGTCTCAGGCGGGAGCCTCCTCCCTATGTAGTCCGCATCTCATATTGGTTATCCGAACGGGTCGTTGGGATCCTGTAGTTGTCGTCATTGTTGGGCTCCTCAGGTTCGAATATTGAGGAAGTCTCCGGCGGGATTCTCGTCTGTGAGTGAATTGCGAAGAAGTCTCAGGCGGGAGTCCCCTCCATCTGAGGTCCGCATTTCATGTTGGTAATCCGAGCTGGTCATCGGGAGGGATCTTGTAGCTGTCGTCACAATTGGGCTCGTCAGGCCTGAATCCAAAGGATGTCTCGGGCGGGAGCCTCGTCTGTGAGTGAATTGCGAGGAAGTCGCAGGCGGGAGCCCCCTACGTACGGGTCCCGCAGCTCGCGTTAGTAATCCGAGACGGTTATCGAAAACTGCGAAATTGTCTTAATGTTTGGGCTCCTTAGGTTTGAATCTTCAAGAAGTCTTACGCGGGAGCCTCGTTTGTGAGTGATTTGCAAGGAAGTTTCAGGCAGGAGCACCCTCCTCGTGGGTCCCGCATTTCACGTTGGTAATCCGAGCGGGTCACCGGGATCTTGTAATTGTCGTTATTTTCGAGCTCCTCAGGCATGGATTTTGACCAAGTCTCAGGCGGGAGCCCCTTCTCTATGGGAGCCCCATTTCCGTGTTCGAATCCGAACGGGCCGCCAGGAACCCTGCAACTTGGAATCCGACAGGGCTCTTCCGACATGAATATGGAGGAAGTCAGGCCGGGGATTTCTCGACAAGGGGATCTCCCTTGGGGGACGGAGGGGGCGGGGTCGAGGAGGGGAGGGGGAAAAAGGGGAGAGAGGAAAAGAGGAGGGGAAGGCCCCAGATGATTGGAGGTCCTTGGAAGAAGCCCTCGCAATAGCTTGGATTTTCCGAGCTCCGACGAGGGGGATACACAACGCCTCCTCCTTCTCCCCTCCTCCTCTTCCTCCTCCTCCTCCTCCTCCTCCTCCCATTCCTCCTCCTCCTCCTCCTAATCCTCCCTCTCTCTATATTTGTTTTTTTGTTTTTTTATGTTTCTCTCTCTCTCTCTCTTTCTCTTGTTTTTTTTTTTTGTTTTTTTTTTTTTTTCTCTCTCTCTCTCTCTCTCACCTCCCTCCTCATCCCTCGCCGCTCTAAGAGCCCGTTGGCATCCGAGCGGCACATTGGATCCAATGGGACGCAGAGGAATCCGAGCGAAGTCTTCTGGGTTCTTTGGAGGGCCACTCGCTCGACCCATCAGAGGAGGAGGAGGGTGATGAGGAGGAGGAGGAGGAGGACGAGGAGGAGGAGGAGGAGGAGGAGGAGGAGGAGGAGGAGGAGGAATGCTGCTCCTCTACGTCATCTTCTCCCGTGCCACGTGCATGCGGAACGTGCTGATCCTGCGGCCGCCCCCGCGGGAGTTCCTGGAGAGCGGGCCGCTGGCGTCCCTGCGGAAGGCGCTTTCGGAGTTCGGCAAGAGAGCGGAGGGCTCCAGGGCAGAGGCGGAGCAGATCGCGGCAGAGCTGGGCTTCGTGCTGCCTCCCTCCTGAGCGCGGTCGCGACTAGCTCGGTGCCTGCGGGGTTGTCCCAACCGTTTTTTCCCGCGCCCCATCAGTTCGCGGGGTTACCCCAACGGCCTGGCCCGCGGGATTGCCCCAACGGCTGCGCGATGTGGCCATTCGAGAATGCGCCCGTGTTGGCCGAGGCGGCGACGGCGGCGAGGGACACCGGCACGCGCGCTCTTGCAATAGAGCGCGGAGGAGATGGCGGGGATGTAACAAAAGCGGGAGGTCGAGGAGGGGCAACGTAGGGGGCTGGAGGGCCTGCGCCAGGGCGATAAGGATAATGATGCAGAGGAGACAGTAAGGACGCCGCGCCAATCACGAAGACGACGATGATGGGCATTTCCGTATTCGCCGGGAGGATTCTGATGCGGGGTCCTACCGTCGGAGCAATTCGCTCTGTGAGCTTTTTGGGGGTCTCTTTGTTTAGCTTTTTTCGGAGCCAATTTGGGAGCCTCCGCGGCCCTCGCGGGGGTATATTTGGTTGCTTCGGCACTCCAGTGCTATCTTGGAGGAAATCCATGATATATTGGGGGCCCTTAATGGCCCCCCCCGCCGGAGAGCCCGAAATATCGCCTCTCGGATCATTTTGGGCGCGCTATCTGCGCGCTCTTGGGCGCTCAGGGCGCCTCTCTGAGCCCCTCTTAGTCTACATGTGGGTGATATTTGGGCGAGCGTGGCCAGTAATTTTCGAGCATGAAGAAGACTCAATGCGTTTTTCACTCGGGTTCCAACAGTGACGCTTGAGGTCAACACAGTCGCGTCCGATTCTGGGCCGGGCATTTACTTGATCGGATTGCCTGTCTGGGCGATAGCGGTGCCATCTTGAGGGTTCAGAAGCCCATTGAAATGGAAAAAGGCGAGAGGGCAATAACAATTCCTGCAAAATCCCGTTTGAAGGATTTGGGCTTCTCGGGGGCGTCTTCAGCACGTTCCGAGGCCACTTGGAGCCGTCTGGACCCGCTTTGTCGGAGGCTATCTTCGCCCGTGATGGGCTGTACGGTTTTATGTTGGAAACACTCTTCGGGTGCCAAGGGCCATTTTGGAACCATTGTGGCCAGCCCTCCCATGCATGCCCCCCTTGAAGTGTTCGGATATTGTTCGCAGGCCCTCTTGCTCGCAGGCTTGGAGAGGCCTGAGAATTCCGAGCTTCGTTTTGCGCGCATGCGTCTTGCAAGTACACGGAACCCACAGGTGCACCGATGGCGGGCGGCTCTGCGTTCCAAGGTCGTCTCCCACGGGCTGCGCGCATCAACCGTAGACAATTTCCAAAAGTTGAGAGTGGATGGGATGACGGATCGGTTGTTCCATAATGCTGCTCCTGGCTCACTGCCGAGTGCATCCTTATTACAAACCTATCATGATGCATACAGAGGCATGTCGTTCTCGAACAAAGGTTGTCGTTCCAACGTCTCTCACAATCAAACCGCCCCGATAACCAACACGGACAGAGGTTTATTGTTTTGATATGTCGTTTTCCCCGTAGCGCCGAACTTATTGGGAAAATGCGGAACGTGTGCAACAGCAGTTGCGATTGTCAATCCATTCGGGTAGCGCCGGTAGTGTCCCTAATACGAAACATTTACATTGCTGCAGGGTCGTTCTTTTTCATTGTGGTGATTTTGCTGGGTACTTCCCCAATTTGACTGGCAATAATTACAACATTGTGCAAGTGTGTCGCGCATGCAGAACTGCCCATGTTCAAACATTGGCTTTGGTTCCAGTTTGATTTGTCGTTGCGTTTTTCCGATTGGTTTTGGCATCTCGTACAACTAGATGGGTGTATCGTGGCTCCTTCTCAAAACGGGCCTTTGGCTTGAAAAGCAGGCTTATAGTGGTGTCTTTCAAGGAGGTGTCCCCCGCAACGAGGAAAAACATAGGAGAGACTTCTGAGGGGGGGGTACTTGTGACTGGAGAGTGTATTGCAGCATTGTTGCTCCGTCCTGGTTTTGCTCTCGTCCTCCGCCGCTTCTTCATCCTTGCACATCAACCCGCAGAATCCCCAAGACGCTCCGAGAGCCCGCGAGGTCCCCCCAACACTTGCCCGAACCCCGCGGAACCAGTGGAACCCCCTCCTCTCTCTGGGCTGCCCCTCTCCTCCTCATCGTTACCAGAATCCCCCCAGACCCTCAGAGCGCCTGCGAGGTCCCCCAATTTTGTTCCTGAACCCCGTGGGAACAGTGGAACCCCCTCCTCTCTCTGGACTGCTCCTCTCCGCCTCCTCCTCCTCCTCCTCCTCCTCCTCCTCCTCCCGTCTCCGCCCTCCTCTCCCTCCCCACGCCTGCCTGCCCCCGAGGTGCGGTGCACCGGGCCCGGCCAGGTGGTGATCTCCTGGGAGGCCGGCGCGCAGAGCAGAGAAAGAGGGGAGGGTCATCGAACGGGGCTGGACACGTCGTCCTGGAGGAGGGAGGATCGGCGGCGAGCGAGGGGGGGAAGTGAGAAGGAGAAGGCCTTCCCAGAAGGCGGCGGGACTTCTCAGAGGCCCTCGCGCCTTCTCATATAGGTCGTTCGTAGCATCGGGGGAAGCGCAGGAAACGTCTCAGAAGGCCGGGGGACATCCGAGCCTTCGTAGAAGGCCTTGTCCTTCTCGCTTCCCCCCCCCCCTCGCCGCCGAGAGGAGGAGGCAACACCAACGTTAGTAGCGACTTAGCAGTTGTCGTGGTCGCAAGTATAGCTGTATGCTTAGTAGCAGCGCCAGTAGCAGTGGCAACAGCAGCAGCAGTAAGAGTAGGAGTATTGATAGCAGCAGTGGTGGCAGGAGTCGAGGTAGCAGCAGCAAGAACAGCACATAGCAACGCAAACTAGACGAGGACGGCGCAGGAGGGAAAGAGGGAGGAGTACCATGAGGAGGGAGGAGGTGGAGGCTAGAGGCAGGAAGAGGAAATGCTAGTTACCAGTGCAAATGAATTCCTTTTGCAATAAACATGGATGCGTTTTCATTGCTTTCAGTGTGTTTGGTGTTGTCGTTGTTTTCAGGGATGGCTGCCGAAATTTGTGAGGCCGCCCCCTTCAAAGATCGCCACACAAGGAATTCTTTTATACGACCGCCACAAAATAATCGCGCTGTAAGGCCGCCACACAGACATCCCTTTGTAACGCCGCCGCAAGAGAAAACCTTTTGTAAGGCCGTCATAGCAAGAAACCTCTTGTATCGCCGCCACACAAGAAATGATTTCGTAACCCCGTCAAAGGATTTGTTGTGTAAGGTCGCTGGGCCGAGCAATCAAGCAACCAATTCAAAACAATGAGAACAGCATAAGCACATCGAACAACATTGAAACCCATACCAAGTATTTGTATTGCAGTTCCGTTTTGTTGTTTTGCTCTCAGTGTTGTTGTGTATGTGTTCGTTGCCTTGTTTCCTCTGGACACCCCAGCTGTCCTCACCTCCTCACTGCATCCCCCTCTCGTCTGCTCCTCGTTTCATTCACAGTCACCATCTTCATCACACTACCATCACCACTACAATCACCATCCCATCATGGCCATCGATCATAATCATCATCATCATCATCATCATCATCATCATCATCATCATCATCATCATCATCATCATCGCTGTCATCGTGATCCTCACCATCACCATGACTCCCCCCAGGCACATCGCAAACTCCCACATCACCATCTTCACCACCATCACACACATGCACTCTTCCACTTCCACAGACATGCTCCGCACTCACCCGCACACATATCCAATACTGACACATTCATTTCGAGGAGGTCTCGAGCGGGAGACCCCTCCCATGGGGTCCCAGCCTCATGTTTTGAATATGAAGCGGTCGTCGGCGTACATTCGCAGGTATAGCACGTGAGCACCCCAATGGCGCAAATTGCGACGAGATCTTGAGCGGGGGCCTCGTCTGTGAGTGAATGTTGAGGAAGTCTCGAGCGGGAGCTCCCTCCCCATGGGGTTCCCTTTTCATGTGTTCCATCCGAGGCGAGAATCGGCGCAGTGTAGCAGGCACAGCAGTTGAGCACCCAGGTGGGGGCAAATCGTGAGGATGTCTCGAGCGGGGGCCTGCGTCAGTCAGTACATGGCGAGATGTCGCGAGGAAGTCTCCAGCAGGAGCAGGTGGCTCACAGAGCACACGGGCCCACAAGTCCAGCAGGCCGGACAAGACTCACGGGGCCCACGATTCCCACAGGCCGCACAGGTCCCACAGGTCCCACACGGCCCGTGGTCCCAAGGGCCCCACAGGTCACAAAGGATTCACAGGCTTCACAGTTCTCACAGGTCCCTCCTTCCTCCCCTTCCTCCCCCATTCCTCCCCTTCCCCTGTCTCCCCCTTCCTCCGCGTGGCTCCTCTCCCTCCTCCCCCTCCTCCTCCTCCTCCTCCTCCTCCTCCTCCTCCTCCTCCTCCTCCTCCTCCTCCTCCTCCTCCTCCTCCTCCTCCTCCTCCTCCTCCTCCTCCTCCTCCTCCTCCCCCCCCTGCCCCTCCCTCCTCCTCCTCCTCCCTCCTCCTCCTCCTCCTTTCTCCCCCCCTCCTCCTCCTCCTCCTCCTCCTCCTCCTCCCTCCTCCTCCTCTCCTCCTCCCCATCCTCCCCTCCCCTCCCCCTCGCTGAGCCCCCCGCCCTCCCGCGCCCGCCCGCCATCTCCCGGACCCCCCCCCCCTCGCACGGAGGAGGCCGAGAGATCGGCGGAAGAGGAGGGGGGGAGGCGGAAAGGCAGCACGAGGGGGCGGAGGAAGAGAAAGAGAGGGAGGAGGGAGAAGGAGGGAGGAGGGCGGAGGAACAAAGAAGAGGGAGAAGAGGGAGGAGGGAACAAAGAAGAGGGAGGAGGGAGAAGGAGAAGGAGGGAGAAGAAGAGGGAGGAGGGAGAAGGAGGGAGGAAGGAGGAGGAGATGGAGGAGGCGGACCGTACATGGACAATACATTCGAACCCTTACACATGTGAGGGAGGTTCTAAGTCACCCCCGCGCCCCCGACATCAGTGTTGATCTCAGTAAAGGCGGTGCTTTGGGGCTCGAATATTTCTGTCCACTCACGCCCCCCCCGTCGCCACGCCATCAATATTAATTTCGGGGGGTCTGGGGGGCATCTTGGGCCACAGGGTTCGAATCGAATGTCCATGTACTGGAGGAGAACCAGCTTTGGGGTAGAGGGGGAGCACGAGAAGGCGGGTTACGATCATCCTTGTTCGGGTGGGGCCTTGTGATGAAATCCCGCGAGGGGCCCGCGAACAGGGGCTCACTGCAGCCTTGTTGCGGGATGCTGCGCAGCCAGGCTGACCTGCAGTGAGGCAGAAGGCGGAGGAGGAGGAGGAGGAGGAGGAGGCGGAGGAGGAGGCGGAGGAGGAGGAGGAGGAGGAGGAGGAGGGAGGGAGGAGGAGGAGGAGGAGGAGGAGAGGAGGAGGAGGAGGGAGGAGGAGGAGGAGGAGGAGGAGGGGAGGAGGAGGAGGAGGCGGAGGCGGAGGAGGAGGAGGAGGAGGAGGAAGCATCCGCGCCGCGAGCCTGTGGGCGCACAAGGCACCAAGGGCCCCGCGGGCGAGTGCTAGGCAAGGCACCCCTCAGCCAAGGAGGCGCCCGCGACTGATCGTCACGGGTCAGTCGACCGATCAGTCTGCTCAAGCCGGCCTCGTGCCGCCATTCGCTGGCGACCTCGCGACGGCTTTAACAATCAAGGTGGGCAGCACAATTGCCAGCACACTCGTAAGCAGTTCATCAACAGTACTATGCACATTGGCAGTGCGACCAACATTGGCATCACGATCGCCAGCAGCACCATCAAAAGTGGCAGTGCAATCATCAAGGTCAAAGTTGGTAGAAGAATTGTCGGCAGCATCACGGGCACAGTAGTCAGCATATGATTGTATCGCGTGGGGCCCTCTCTTTTCATGCAAAAAGCAACGGTTCAAAGATCGCCGACTACGCAGATTGCGGTCTCAAGTTGCCTCGCAAGCGTTGAAATCTGCCATGGGACATCTTGCGGTGGGCACAGCACATTGCAAAGGCGGCAGGCATTTGAAGATTGCGCATCTTCCCTCAAAACGGTTCGGTTTGCCCGAAATCGTTCTGACGGTCACAACGATGCTGCCGCCAGAGTATACGCCAAGACTTCAAGCGTCTGATAGCCACGAAGACTTACACAACTTGCTCCACAGCCCTGCGGACATCAATGCGTCCACTCATTCGACTGGTTTTGAAACTCTGGTTCCAAGGCCAACGGAAATGATTTTACGAGTTGCTGCCGCTCGGGCAGACGAGATGGTTCCTTGGGAAGGTGGAGGCCCCGAGGTGCTGTCCCCGACATCCTCGACACCCACGCCGTCGAAATCGTCTACGAAGATGGTCCTGTAGTCAGGAGTGACGCATCCATGAGCGCATCCGTCGCTCATGCAAGACTGGACGAAGAAGTACATTCGGCCGCAGAGAAGGCAGTTGTTTTGACCTGCGCACCTTGAAATACGGCAAGGCAATGATGTTGCACACGTGCTTTTACCCCCGCATCCGGCTTACCAAGATTTGGTCGCACCATACGACGTTGTGTTTGAAGAGATGGATCACGTTCCGCAAGTGATACACGCTTGGCTTGAACAGGCGCTTGAGTTGATTGCATACGACATAGCGGGATTTTGATGGGGATCGAGCCGCCCACCCTGATTCAAGCGACTTGGCGGGGCCAGAACCATCTTTTGATGACCAAGTGGGAACAGTACGCTACCTTGTCGAGCCAGTTGGCGCGTCGGCATTGTGCCAGTTTCGGCAAAAAGTGTGGCACAACCCAGCGGGATGACATGGATGTGTTGTAAGGCCACCGTAGTATTGTGCGCAGCTCTGCACACGTTGTTTGCATAATCTCGAAGTACATTGCTGTAGGCGCAGCTGAACGTTATCCCGTCATGTCCACTGCCATCACCCCCTTTCATCTGCATAGTCTTAAATCGGGCCTGTCCCTCTACAGGGGGAATTTTAGAGAATAGTCAAAAAATAGTCTTGGGACTATTTTTGAGTATTGTTTCACCTTTTTGGTGCATTTTTGGGGTATGTTTTATTTTTCGGCGAAAATCCACCGGTAGGGGGACAGGCCCGACTTAAATCTATCGCCCTCCCGCCCTCGGTGAGCGCGCTGTTCTGTACACTGTGCGCTGCCGCGCCCTCGCCGCTAAGGCAGCCCCAACCTTTGGGCAGCCCACCGCCGCGGCGGGACAGCGGCAGCGGAGGAGGTTTGGGGGAACGAAGAATGGCATAAACATAAAAGCTCGGAGGTCCGCGCGAATTTCTTGGATCTGCGCTGGACCCCCCTCCCCGGCGCGCGGAGCGCGCCAGGGGCGGCGGCGGAGGCGCCGCCAGAGCGGTCCAGCGTCGACCCGTGAACTCCGCGCGGACCTCCGAGTTTTTATGTTTGTGTCAGTCTTCGTTCCCCTAGAGGTTGAGGATGATGGTGGTGAGTAGTTTGGATGGGAGAGGCTGGCGCGTCGTGGTTTGTAGAAGTGCTGCCTCGGTGAGGCCACTTTCGCAATCAAGCTGCCGCGCTGCCCCCGCTGAGGGCGTTGATGGAGAGGAGGAGGAGGGGGAGGAGGAGGAGGAGGAGGAGGAGGAGGAGGAGGAGGAGGAGGAGGAGGAGGAGGAGGAGGAGGAGGAGGAGGAGGGAGGAGGAGGAGGAGAGAGGAGGGAGGAGGAGGAGGAGGAGGAGGAGGAGGAGGAGGAGGAGGAGGAGGAGGAGAGGAGGTGGAGGATGGAGGCAGTCTCGTCGTGGCGGCGCGTCGGCCGCGACGGTGTGTGTCGAGCTGGCCGATGTGCTGGCTGCGGGGATGTCCGTTTCTGGCCGGCGGGATCTCAGCCGAATCGCGTGTTTGGGAGGCCGTTTCTTTCTGCCGCCAGTTGCGGTACCTGATGCGAGGGGGGGAGCCTGGGGGGTAATGACGGGGGACAATGTCAAGCAGTGGCGAAGCGTCTTGGCTCGCCTATAGCCCTGCCAAACAATGTTCTAAGAGCCTTGTGGTTTCCACGAAATCTTCTTAGAACATTTCTGGTTGAGGCTGTCTGATTTTGACACATCGGGCTAATGTTCTAAGAACATTGTTCTTGTTCTTAGAATTTTTTGGGTTCCAAGAACATTTCGTAGTAGGACTATTGGAATGCCGGGACGGTCGGTCCCTGCTCAAGTTGTGGTATTTGATGCGAGGGGGGGCAGCCTGGGGGGTGATGACGGGGGACAGTGGAAGAGGAGGTGGAGGTAGACCGTTCCACCTTGATGTCGCGGCGTGTGCTCGAGCGCAGCGGCGCCCGAGGCGAGCAGAGGCTGAACGCAACCCCGCTCCTCGGTCCGCTACGTCTCCATTTTTTGGCACGCGAAGCAGGCACGTGGCCACCAAGACGCACTATGGAATCGGCATCTCTCTGTTGATTTGCGTGCATGGGAGGCTGTTTCTTTCGGCCACCAGTCGTGGTACCCTAATTAGGCGTATCGGTAGTGGTGTGGAGTCGGAGGTGTGTCTGGTTCAGTTCATCGGAGTGGGCGGGAAGGACATCACCTGATTTTTCACCCTGCCTCGCCAGCTTGCCTGCACCTAAGCAGTAGTGCACCAGCTTAGCATCGATCCAGTAGGACAGTTGCGCCACACATTTAGGCTTAGGTCGGGCATGCCCCCCGACAGGCGCATCTTGGACGACAATCAAGCAATTTTCAAAGCATAAGCAAAATTAGACAACATTAACAGAACAATCGTCCCCAGACTATTCTCCTACTGCTTTTGAATGTTCCTCCTGTAGGGGGACATGCCCGACTTAATTTCAGGCCAAGCAGGCCAGCATGTGCAAACTGTGTTAGCCTTGCAATGCGTACGCTGCGTAGCTTCGCTGCTTCCATAGGCGCAGCTAACCCCTCGAGGAGGGCACGTACTGCCCTCGACGATGGCGCCCCTGCCATGGGAAGGGTAAGGGGTATGTGGGATGATGGTGGGATCCGGTCGTAGGGGAGTACCTTGCTTGGCCTGCAGATCCAATGCTTTGTGACCCTTCGGGCTTCTCTCGACTTTTCTGTGCCTCCTCGCACCTCCTGCTCCCCTTAGTCTGCACTCAGGTGTCTTACTGGGGTATCTTTTCTGACGCAACAAGCTCGTTCTTCATGTCTTGTCAACGTCAAAAAGGAGAAGGAGGAGGAGGAGGAGGAGGAGGAGGAGGAGGAGGAGGAGGAGACCGAGGAGGAGGAGACCGAGGAGGAGTTCGCGAGCTAGCGCCGGAGGAGGGGGAGAGGGGGGGGGGTGCAGAGGGGAGCAGGAGGAAGCAGGGGAAGAGGAGGCGCGAAGGAGGACCCCTGGCCAGCCGAGGTGCCGCCTTCCACCTCGCCGAGGGCGACCTGGTGCCTGAGGGTCCGGCAGAAGGGCGAGCCAGAGAGCTGGCGGCCGATAGACCTGGACCGACGACGACGACGACGAGCACGACGATCCCTCGGAGGCGTCTGGAGGTTGCTCGGCCTCCCCGTCACCACCGCTGGGTTCCCTTCGGGGTCCTGGCCAGAACGCGTTCGAGGAGTTGTCCGTGGATCGAGTCTGGGGGGGAGGGCGGGAACGACGACCGCGGTCGCGGCCTCGGGGACGACGGGCGAGTAGAACGACCTGAACCGACGAGGGGACGAGGAAGAGGACAATGTTCTTTTCGAATGCTGGTCAGAACGCGCTCCTGGTTAGACCTGAGAGTTGGTTTGAGGGGGATGGAAGGGCCAGCAGGAGGAGGATCAGGAGGCGCAGTGTTTTGACGCTTTAGTCAGTTCTCGGAGGTTCCTGAGGAGCATCTGGGGGGGACTGCACTGGGGGGGGGCAGCTGGGGATGAGGCGGATATGAGCCAGGATGATGATATGATGAAGATGAGGACGAGGATGATGATGAGGAGGAGGAGAAAGAGGAGGATGTGGGTGAGGACAGGAGAGAGGAGGTGATGGAAGGAGGATGAGGAGGAACAAGAGGGGGAGTGTCGGAGGAGGTACACTAGGATGGAGGAGGTCGGAGAGGACGAGGAGGAGGAGGAGGAAAAGGTGGAAAAGGAGGGGAAGGGGGAGGGGAAGGGGGAGGGGCGGAGGAGGAGTTATCCTCCATCCGTCTCCCCGTCCCCTTTCCCTTATTATCCTCTTCCCTTCCTCTCCCCACCCTGCTCATCCTACCCTTCCTTACCCTTCCCCTTCTCATCCTTCTCCATTTACCTCTCTCCTCCTTTGCCCCATTTCCTCCGCCCCTGCAGCATTTGTCCCACCCCTAGTCGTTTCGTAGCTCCTATCAATTCGAAAATCTCCCGGACTCCCCCTCTGTCCTCCCCGACCCTGTGGCATAATACGATCTCATGCTCTAGACCCGAGGCCCTAGATCCGACCCCATGGGCCGTACATCTGTACATCTTAACCCCTAGGCATTGCGGTGTATGCCCGAGGCCCCAAGTTGCAGACCTAAGGCCCTACATGGCCCTACGCTCAGTCCTTGCACCCGAACCCCTTATGCCCTCACCCATATAAGTTGCAAAGTAAGTTCGATGTGATGTCTTAGCCGTAATCCCAAGACCCCAGGCGGGCTTAAGATCCGACGCTCTGGGACCGTTTCACGACGTCAGCCCCAAGAGATCGTTGCAGCACCTTCTCCCTGAGTCTACAAAGCATGCCCACGTGCGTAGAACTGCCCCTCCTGGAGGTCTGCTCCGAATGATTAAGGTGTCCCGTATCTTTCGTACATTAATCGCTTCGCTCATTCCGCCAGTCCATTTCGCATCACGGTGGCTGCATGGTGGTGTGCTCGTACCCATGGGGAACGGTGGGGCAGGCAGGACTGTCCTCGAGGAGATCTTTGGAGATGTGTCTCGCACCCTGCCGAAGAGAGCCAATAGACTGCCCCAGAGGGTGTCAAGATGGCTCAAGAGAGCTTTACCAAAGTTTCGAGACGTACCTGGGGTGTGGGTCAGAGACCTCATGGATGCTTCTTGGGGTCTCTTCGGAGGGCTCTCAGGAGCCTCTGGGGAGCAGTTTTGAGGCCTCTGGGGAGCTTCTTGGGGGCCTCTTGGAGCTTCCTGGGGGCCTGTTGGGGGTCTTGGGAGCATCTTTTGGGGTCTCTTGGGGCCTCCCGGGGGGCTCTTGGGGGCCTCTGGGGGCCTCCAGGGCGCCTCTTGGGGCCGAGAGCTCGAATTGTCTGTTCGGGTTCCCCCTCTTGGCCCCCTCTTGGGGGCCATCCTGGGGCAGTCTTGGAGGCCTCTTGGGCCGTCTCAGGGCCATCTTGGGCCATTTTGGGGCTCTCTTGGAGGCTTTTTGTACCGTCTTGGAGCGATCTTGGGGCCTCTTGGGTCGTCCAGTTCGGTCGGCAGCCCGAAAAGGCGGTACCGCCAAACTCCTCCGACCCCCCCCTGCAAACTTAATTACTTCTGCATCTTCGGGGCCACTCGAAGTCCTCTTGGAACCCTCCTGGAGCGTCTTGGGTGCCTCTTGGGCCGTTTTGGGCCCAGCGTGGCCCATCTTGCAACGCTCCTGGCCCGAGGCCGTGGCGGTGCCACCCTTCTGAAGCCTCATGGGGGCGCTCGGGGGAGGGCACGGGGCCGCGCCAAGGCGTTCCGGCATCTGTGGCCCGACCATGCCGGGACCTCCCTGACTCCGGATCCGCCCTACTTTGGCTTTTTTTCCAACTTAAAATTGCGTCGGAAATCCACCTATAAGAGGCCGAAAAAGTAGGGCGGAAATTGCTGCACCCAACATAAAATGGGGCGGAAATCCACAGAAACAGCAGCAGAAAAGTAGGGCGGAAATTGGCATCAGCGGGGCTTGAAAAGTAAGGCGGAAATTCCAAGCCCTACTTACGAATTTGCCCAAAGTAGGGCGGATCTGGAGTCAGAGCTTGCCAGGACCTTGCTTCAACGAGCGCGATCCTGTCTTCCTCGATGCAGTTTATCGTAGATCCCTCACGGCCGACCCGGGCCGTTTGCGAGCAGGTCTTCTGCGAGTAGTGGAGCGCGCTCGTCTACTGCTGGGGTATCCCGGCGTCGCCCCAGCATGCTCATACTATCTGTGTGCGTCGCCCCCCCCTGGGGCGACGCGCGGACCGAGAAGTCTTACGGTATATGCGGCGTGGCGGGCGCTTGCTGGAGCCTGTCTCGCCGCCCACGTGGCACCTGGCCGCAGAGGGAGTGAGCCGCCAGGACTGCCACGCGCCACGCGCCAGCCCGCTTCACCGCGGCCGCAAATAGAGGGGGGTGGAGAGGATCCTTCTTACTACGGGGAGGAGAACGCTACTTGGGCCACCGCCAGGTAGGCACAGACCTCACCCGCGCCCGATGAAAACCCCCTCCGGCAGGCAACAGCTCCACGCTCGGCTACCCTACACGCCTGCCTCGGCGGTTGAAGAAGGTCCCCGTCGCGGGGCTGTGGGCTGGCTAAGGGGGGGTTCTAGTGGCAGGGGGAGGGGCACTTGTGCCTTCCGCTCGGCCGGGGCCCGCGCCGGCGCCACCCGCGCCTCAGCAACGCCACCTCCCTCAACCCCCATCCCTTTTCGTGTGTCGTTACTCCTCCCCCTCCATCTCTCCTTCTCCTTGCGTTTTTGCTCTCCGTCCTACCTTTCGCCACGTACCTCGCCAGCCGGCGATTCCTGGAGCGAGGGCTCTACGAGCCGCCTGGCTTCAGCTGGATCACCCCCCCCATGGTCGACCAGCCATGGGGGGGAGGGCAGAGTCTGGAGAACTCATGCTATCAGGACCCAGGAACCAAGAGGAGGAGGAGGAGGAGGAGGAGGAGGAGGAGGAGGAGGAGGAGGAGGCTAGACTAGACCAAAAAGGTCATGCAATAAATTATTGCGTGGGGACCTCTCAGGATCCCTTCCTGAGCGTAGGCCGAGCCTGGGTTGAACCCCAGCCTCTGCCCACGCCGACCTTGTAGACGAAATCCCACAAGGCAATATCGGCATCCGCGACGGCCCCGATCACGAATCGCCTCCAATTCACGATCGCCGTCACGAACTTCTTGTGCTTCTCGAACATCGCGACAGCCGCAGGCCCCGACACGTACGTGAGGCCGCTGTCCTTGCCCATGTCCGACGCATTCTTCTCGCTCTGCTCGTCGCCCGCGTCGCGACGGGACTCCTTGGCGTCGGGCACGCCAAGCCAGGCGCTGGCCACCCGCGCCCGCGCTCTCCACCAGGGAGCCCCCGCGACTGCCATGCCACGCTTTGCTCCAGCATGGCCTTCCAGGTGTGCCAGCGGCGGCGGCGGCGTCCCAGCGCCTGCAGCACCGCCCGCGTCTGCCTTCCAACCCCCTTCGCGGGGAGGGCCAGGCTCAGCCCCTGCCTTCCAACCCCCTTCACGGGGAGGGCCAGGCTCAGCCCTGTCCAGCGGCGCCAGGGGCCCGCGGCCCAGCCCCTTGAGGGCCGCCTCGGCGATCTCGTCGCTGCTGGGCTGTAGGCTCAGACGGCCCCACACGCCAGGCGGCTTTGGGATGTAAGGCATCGCCGCGGAGCGCAGCGGCGTGCGGCGCGCGGGCGCCGCGCCCCCACAGGCCGCGAACCCGCAGGCTCCGCAGCGCAGACCTCGACCTCCAACCGCGGGAGAACCACGGCGGCCTCCGCCAGGCAGATCTCAACGATGCACTCCACGGGCTCACGCGCGGCCAGCCCGCCGAAGGCCCCGAGGCGCGGCCCTGCTGCCACCTCTGCGATGGCCGCTTCGGAGGCCGTCGCGAAGCCGCCGACTGGCACGCGCAGCGCGTGCCACGCGGCGTTGCGGCGGCGCCTGCGTCGGCCGCACACTCGAGCGCCTGCAGCGGCGGCCTGCAAGGCCGGCCGAGCCGCCAGCCCTCGGTCGCGCCAAGAGCCTGCGGCGACTCCGCCAGCTGGCACCAGCAGGCCCTTGAGGCGCTCGATCTCCAGCCGGGCCTCCGACAGCTCCTGCACCAGCCGCTGAACGAGGCGGTCCGCGGCAGCCTGGGCCCCAGCTGCCCCACGGAGGGGCTCCCGCGCCATCTGCCGGCCCAAGCTAGCTTGAACCGAGCTGGCTTGAGCCAAAATGGCTACGGAGGGGGAGGAGGAGGGGGAGGAGGAGGAATAGGAGGAGGAGGAGGAGGAGGAGGAGGAGGAGGAGGAGGAGGAGGAGGAGGAGGAAGAGGAAGTGGAGGAGGAGGAGGAGCAGGAGGAGGAACAAGCGGGCGGATATGACAACGCGGCCGCACTGCGCATGCCCATGGCCTGACCCGCGTGCCCCCCCCGCTTTCCCCGGGAGGACGCTGGCTTGGTGGTCTCGGGGAGTGGCGAGGCCGGCTGGAAGGGTCGTGGCTCCCTGCCCAACGACGGCCTGAAGGCCACGGCTGCCCTTTGCGGGCGGGCATGGGAGGTAACTGCGGAAAAGGGAACTTTGGCTCAGCGTGTCGCCGCGCCGTTTCTGGCCCACCACGCTTCGGCGCGACACGCTCTGCACGTCCCAACCCCGAAGCGTCAACGTCTCGAGTGTTCACCGACCTCCCGCCCCGCGGAGTGGAGCGGAGCGACACGCTATCCGCTTGCAGGGATAGCGTGTCGCCCAGGCCGCCGGAGCGACACGATCAGCAACAGTTCCCGACCGTAGGCAGCGGGCCTCGTGCATAGTTTGCTCCAAGTTCGGCCGTCCGCGAGGCACTACAGCACCCAATGGGCTATTCGTGCATCACTTCCCAATGCCACCTGAACTGGCGAGGAAGGATCAGGACCACTATCTCCCTTATTAAACGTGGATAGTGTAATTTTCACAGCGCGCGCTTTTGGGCGCCAACATAGGTTTCGCTGGCGTTGGGTCCCCAAGAATATTTACCGCCGGCCCTCGCGAGATGACGTCTTAATGTTCGCGGGCGCCTATGATATACATATTGTTATCATGTCTGCATGTTGTTGGTATGTGAACCATATACATGTGCGTCAATTCTGCAGCAACCGCGCTCGCGAGTTGCACGTGTATCGCGCTTGGTCACATTCGCCCGCCTGGAGAACTATCACACGATCTGACCAGTCTGTTTGCGCCACGTATTGCGACATGTCAAGGGCCGTCACCCTCCTGATGCTCACTATCAGCACCATCATCAGTATCATCAACGCCATCATAGTCACTACTACTATCCCCATCTTCATCGTTGTCATCATCGCTATCATGTTGTCCATTCGCCGCATCTGGCAAAACCGTTACCATCACATGATCGTGACATCGTCTCCACCATCAACATCGCCATCACGATCACAATCATCATCACCATCACCATCACCATCACCATCATCACCAGCGACCCTGAAACGGTGCATCATTTTCGATTTTCGCCGGCCTCTGGGCGACATGCTGCTCGCCGGCGTGAAGATCTGGCCCTGGGGCAATCTTCGCCGGCGTGGCACCCCCCACGACGTTCGCCCCCCCCACGTTTGGTCAGGGAGAGGGTAGCCGGAGAGGCTAACAGTGGGCAGACATCATGGTTTGGAGCTCCGCGCGGATGTCTCGGGTCGGCGCTGCGCCCCCCACGGCGGCGCCTCCGCCGCCGCCCCCCGGCACGCCCCGCGCGTTAAGGGAGGGGGGTCCCGCGCCTGGCCCTCCGAGAAGCTGTGCGTATACAGTTCTTCGGCCTTCTGTGTAGGTCTGGGGCAACCTCTACTCCAGATTTCGTAATAAAGGGAGGGGGGGTTCATTTCGGGGGGGGTCTCTTCCAGGCTATCTTGGAGGGCCTGGGGGGGTCTGGGGACGATGTTTTGGAGGGTTCTCCCACGGGGGGGGGTCTGAAATGGTTTGTCTTGGAGGGTCCAGACCCCCTCCCTTTTATTACGAAAT